CCTGTCACCCAGAGGGGTAGGCAGAGACTACAGACTTCCATTTGGCACGATCTTGACAAACCTCTCTCGCCTCCTTCACATCAATACACCTACGCATACATGCTCGTCGGTTAAGGGTACTCCTAATTTGGCCCGTTTTCAATAAATCGCCAATTTAGTTGATAAATTTTCGCCTAGGACGTTCCTTTCCGACTCTGCCATTCACTTCTGCACCATAAATTTTCTTTGTCACTCTTCCCTCATTAATTTTTTCCACATGACCAAACCACCGAAGCATTCCTTTCTTAATCCTGATCATAACATCATCTTGCAAACCACACTCTTCTCTTATTTATATATTTATACTCCTTAACGACCGCATTTCTACAGCGTTCATTATACTCTCGTGCTTCTTCTGCCACACCCAACTTTCACTACCATACGTTAAAGTAGGGACCAACACAGTATTGCGAATTGCCATACGTGTCTTTTTCGACACATTTTGACTCTTCACTGAGGAAGGTTGTCGTTCTATATCCTTATCATATCTCCCATCCCTGCTAAATACGCAGCCCAGATATACAAACTCATCTACTTGCTCGATCAACTCCCCCTTCTATTCTTATTTCACAGATCGTTTTACTTTCTTCTCTTTCAAAAACCATAACCTTCGTCTTACTTACGTTCACTTTCATACCCCTTTCTTTTAATGATCTGTTCATTAATGTAACCATCATTTTACGTTTGGTCGCTGACGACTCAAGAATAACTTGATCATCGGCGTATAAAAGACATTTGACTATTAACTCACCCATTCTTAATCCGCATTCTTCAACTTTCAAATTTTGCAAACAAATGTCCATAAATAGGTAAAACAGCCACGGGGAAGCCACACAGCCCTGTCTGACACCTTTATGGATGCCAAATCAGTCCGAGTAGACCCCGTTGATCCTAACACAAGCACTAGAGTCCCTATAAAGCGACTCCAATGCTTGTATCAAGCCAGCGTTCAAACCAAATGAATTCAGTGTTTGCTCCCTATCCACTCTGCCATAGGCCTTTTCCAAGTCCATGAACGCACAAAAAAGTTAAAAAAAGGTTATTTAAAATAAAACAACATCATCATTGCAAACGTCAATATCAATGTCTTATATATTCTCTATAACGGACAGCTGTATATTATAAAAATAAACAGCTGTCCGTTGACCTCGCTTAAACTCAAAAACGGCTCGACCGATTTTGATGAAATGTTTTGTTTGTGTTTGAATAAATGGTTGAGATGCACATTTCGACCCGGTAGGTAGCGCTGTTGCTGAGATCCAGAAATAACCCATGCGAAGCCGAAGTGCATTGCTTGTTTTTTAAATAAAAATTCGTGTAAAAAATAAAAACAGAGAGCTTGAATGCGCTCTCTTATTGCTCTTAACTAATTTTAAGAACCAGCTTTCTGCAGTTTAAACAAGATTCCACTGAAGTATATCAACTTTTTAACAGTTCAATCAGTTGTCAATAAATAAATAAATATACAGGCAAAGAGCCTGCCGGGTTTTATTCATCATCATCATCATCATCATCATTACAGCCCTTCACAAGTCCACTGAGGAACATAGGCCTCCCCCAAGTAATGCCACAAAGCACGGTCCTGAGCCACCTGCATACATTGACTTCCTGCATGTCTTACCAGGTCGTCACTCCATCTAGTGGGGGGTAGCCCTACACTACGCCTAACCGGTACGAGGCTGCCACTCGAGAACCTTTCTTCTCTATCGGTTATCGGTTATATGGCCGGGCCATTGCCACTTCAGCTTACTAATCCGTTGGGCTATGTTAGTCACTCTGGTTTTACTGCGGATATCCTCATTTCTGAGTCTATCACGCAGATAAACTCCGAGTATAGCCCTCTCCATAGCTCGCTGAACGACCTTGAGCGTCCTCATACGGCCAGCGGTGAAGGACCACGTCTCTGATCCGTAAGTCAACACGCACTGGTTGTACACTTTAGTTTTCAGAGATTGAGGTATACCTGACGAGAAGATGTGTCGTAATTTCCCGAACGCTGTCCAGCCGAGTTGAATCCGTCCGTCGATTGACCTCTCGGTCGAAGTTGGACTTACCTAGTCGGACTATTTGTTCCAGGTAAACGTACTCGTCAACAAATTCGAGCTTAACGCTCGTAACAAATACCGGCATAGGTGTAACACGGACATTGAACATGATCTTCGTTGTTTGCATGCTCATCTTAAGACCTATCCGTTGTGTGCCAGCATTGAGGTCATTGAGCATAGTGCTAAGGTGCTCCAGCGATTCTGCCATAAGGACTATATCGTCGGCAAATCGAAGGTGAGTGATGTACTCGCCATTGATGTTAATACCGTATCCTTTCCAGTCCAGTAGCTTGAAAACGTCTTTCAACGCAGCGGTGAAGAGTTTCGGGGATATAACGTCACCCTGTCTTACACCTCTCTGCAGTTGGATAGGTTTCGAACTCTGGTTCTGTACTCGGATAGCCATCGTAGCCCTACTGTACAAACACTTCAGCACTTCGATATACCGACAGTCAACTTGGCACCGCTGAAGGGACTGTAGCACTGCCCAAATTTCAACGGAATCAAAGGCCTTCTCATAGTCCACATACGCCAGGCAAAGTGGCAGATTGTACTCTTCTGTCTTCTGTAGAATCTGCCGCAGGGTATGTATGTGGTCTATGATACTGAAGCCTTTTCGGAAACCGGCTTGTTCGGGAGGCTGGAAGTTGTCGAGTCTGCGTGCGAGACGATTCGTAATGACTCTCGAAAACAGCACGTAGACGTGGCTCAGAAGGGAAATCGGTCTGTAGTTCTGCAAGAGAGCGTTTTCGCCTTTCTTAAAGAACAAGACCACCGTACTTCTACTCCACGCCTCCGGAGTAGTGCCATCATGGAGGACGGAAATGAAGAGCTTCTGAAGGACTTCAAGTACCGATGTTCCTCCCGCTTTCAGAAGCTCCGATGTAATTCCATCCTCGCCTGGGTCCCTGCCGTTTTTAAGGTGCTGGAGAGCCATTCTAATCTCGCTCAGACTGACGTCCGGGATATCATCGGAGTAGTGTCGGGTAAGACTTGCTCTTGGATCGTTACTCTTACTTGCGTGTGGCTCCAACGATGATGTGTACAGCTGCTCACAGAACCTCTCCATCTTACTCAAAATCTCAGGTGCCCCGGAGGCCTTTCTGGCAGACAGATCTTTGGCAAAGACTTTGGAGCCCTGGTTCCGCTCGATCGCTTCTTTATTACGAGCGGTATTAAAGTTGCGTAAGTCTCGCCGCACGCATTTGGAGATCTGTCTGTTCAGTTGCCTGTATGCTGTAAAATCTGTTGACGATTGCAGCCTCATCTACCGTCTAACAGCCATGAGATTAAGAGTGTGATCTGAGAGTTTTGTGTTCTTCTGTGGCGAGTCTTGCAGAACTTAGCTCCGACCGCATGGACAGTTTCCATGAGCTTGCCATTCATATCGTCCGTACGTAATTCGAGCTGAAAAGTCTCGGGATTCTGAATTAGAGCACGAGGGGGGACGGAGCGTTGACTTCATTAGACGAGACCTCTCCAACTTAACGTTTAGGTTCAGTGTGCCTCTAACCATTCGGTGATCGCTGCCGGTTTTCACCCTTGCGATCACTGAGACATCACTGAATAGTTGGCGTCTGGTTGTCATAATGAAGTCAATCTCATTTTTTGTCGAACCGTTGGGGCTCGACCAGGTCCACTTCCTGTGGGGCCGCTTCTGGAAGAAAGATTTCATCATAAAGAGTCCCTCTTTCTCCATAATGTCAGCCAGCTGCTGGCCCCTACGGTTCCGTTGCCCTACTCCAAATTTCCCTAACTTCAGCTCACCGCCTTATCTTGTGCCTAGTTTTGCGTTGAAGTCCCCCATCAACACCGTGTAGTGGGTTTTGGAGGAATGCATGGCTCTAGAAATATCCTCATACATTTCCTCCACCTCCTCATCGGGATGTGCCGAGGTTGGTGCGTAGACCTGTATGACCTTCAGCGAATACCGTTTGGTGATTTTGTGTATCAGGTACGCGACCCTCGTCGACACACTCCCAATCTTTACAACGTTGTTGACGAGAGACTTGTGGACGATAAATCCGACACCTCTTTGGGACAGATGGTCGCCCTCCCGGTGATAGAACAAGTTGCCGGACTCGAGGATTACCGTGTCCTCCCCCTCTCTTCGGACCACAGATAATCCAATAATATGCCAGCGCAACTAGTCTACCTTTTCTTCCAGCTCCAGTATCTTCTCGTCAGTCCTCAGGGTGCGTGCGTAATACGTTACCAGGTCGAGGCGTTGGAGGGGGCAACCGAACCGCCACCAGAGATTCGTAGCACCCCCCGCCCCGCCGTTACCATGGTCGCCACCGTAGCCAGGAATAGTGGGGCCGCCGGGGACTGGGGGTCGTTTATTTGCCATAGTTGCAACGCTTGGCGAGCGGGTTGGCAACCGCAGTTTTTTATTATGTTATTGTTGTTATTAGGAAGATGCTGCTACCCATCTCCTTTCTGTGTCCCTCTGTCGCCTCTTACGATACCCACGGAAAGATATGGGGTAGTGGATATTCTCAACCGCCACTACACGGCTAGGGTTTTATTAGACAAATTTATATATTGTTGGAAGAGAGGGCTTGAATCAAGAGTGCCGACGCCGCGCCGGGCTATATAGGAGGGCGGCTGGCGTCACTCACCCCTTTTTGCCATCGGTCATCGCTGAGTTCGGAAGCCTTGCTCAAATACTAGCGTCATTATTTTAAATCTTGTTTAAAGCTTTTAAGTTAGTTAATATTTGTTTGGCCAAAAGCCATTAAAATCCTTTTAAAAAGTATATCTGTGTTTCTATGTGTAACAATATTTAAATTATTGTTTATTTTATGTCTTTTTTTAATATATATTTCTTTAATGAAGAAAAGGTATATTATATTAATAATATACACTGATATTTAGCATTTATTATACATATTTATTTGAACAAACAAAAGCACTTCAACACGTTACACTTTGTACACGTTTGCTTTTAACAAGAAGCGTCTGTATGACATCCACGGACAGTCCCTTAGTTTCTGGCAATAAGTACGTGCAGAACATCGCAGTTGCAAAACAAACACCTCCGAAGATATAAAAAACTGGGGCAAGGCCTACGCTGGATACAAGTGGGATAAATATGTAAAGAATAATGAAGTTACAGATCCAAGCCCACTCCGCAGAGAGCATAGAAACTAAACTTTTAACCTGTCAAAAAAAAGTTCAAATTTAAATATTTATAAACATGATAGCCACCCGGATTCGGATGAATTCAGAACACAATGCTAGTTGCGTGGTAGAGCCATGCAAAGTGTTGTGAATGCGGTGCGAATGGTAATGAATCGACAGTAAGGGTCATGTCCACACGACAACACTTTTTTTACATGGGTAAATGCCTACGCATACCCGCCTCGCAGGGGCAAAGACGAGTTTTGTTGGACTCGCACCGAATAAAATTAATTCCATGGTGTTCCACCTCTGCCGCATATTTGGCAGGGCCACGGGTACGCTTTCGCACACATTCCCGGCCTCACAGCGCAGGCCGTCTCATGGCACCACATCCTAGGCAGGACAACTCCTCCTCTTCTCTTTCTCATATACAAGAACACACGGCACGCCTTCCTCCGTGAGCTCTAACCCCACTTACACAGCTAGTCCTCCCCCTCCTGCCAGAAATGTCGAGTACCAAACTTCCTGACCGCAGCGGTGGATCTGGTCTATGGCTCCACCAAAGCTTTCGGCTGCGGAGGGTAGGGAGCGTCTTGCAATTCCAATACTGATTTCCATCTGCAGAATCACCGCCATCACCGCATTAAAAGAGCACCCACGCCATTCGTTGTGGATTCGCATAACAAAACTTCAACAACTATTATAGTCAGGCAGAACGGTTGTATGTGCTTGTCCTAATCTCGTTACCGTTTGTATACAACTTTTGCTAGGTAACTCTCCAATGTCTGATTAAATTGTTCTACCATTCCATCAGATTGCGGGTGATAAGAAGAAGTATCGCTTTCACTCTCCGGAAACGGCCCCGCCACGTCAATGGCTATTCTCTCCCATGGTGCACCATCATTGTACAACTTCAATGCACCTCTACTACGAGTCTGAAATCCCTTTACAGCCGCACAACTTGTACATTTGCTACACCAGTCTTCGACATCGTTTTGACAGTGGATCCAGTAAAACCGTTCTTTGATCTTCAATAGAGTTCGTTTAACTCCCAGATGGCCTCCTGAACAATCATTACGGTACAGCTGTAGAACATCCGGTACTTTGGCTTTAGGGACAACTATTTACAAATGACAGCTGTCTCCCCGAACATTTTCCCATTTACGGCACAGCACTCCATCCTGAAGCAGCAAGCTGTCCCATTGGGCCCAATAGCTTTTAGTGGTCGAACTCATCGCTGAGACGTCGCTCCACTTGGGCTTGGGAGCATGGGCCTTCATCCACTCCAGAATCGGCTTGAGGTCCGGATCTTCCTGCTGTGCATGTTGTAAGCGGTCCTTTCACTCGTTGCTGAGCTGGTCTGTCCTGAGCATCCTCACGGATGCCACTTCCTTACTCTCTTGCCTAGTACAATGTTTGCAATCTTCAGGATAAGGTCTTCTTGACAATGCATCTGCTTTGCAATGAGATATCCCGCTGCGATGTTTGATCTCAAAGTCGTATTCCTGCAGTAGTTCAATCCACCTCACAACTTGTTCTTCTGGGTTTTTAAACTACAATTGCCATTTTGTGCAGCATGGTCAGTTCGTAGGTAAAATTTCCGCCCCAGAAGATATTTGCTAAAATGATGCAACGACTTTACCACAGCTAGCAATTCGCGTCTTGTGATACAATAGTTCCCTTCCGGTTTTCACAACGACTTGCTGAAGTACGCTATCACAACCTCTCGATCACCGTTCCGTTGAGACAACACACCGCCGAGTCCTGTATCACTTGCGTCTGTGTCAACTATAAATTCCTTGCCTGCATCAGGGTATCCTAATATAGGTGTTTTGCAAAGACCGTCCTTGAGCTACTGGAATGCGATATCATAACTTTCGTCCCAGCAGAATTGTCGCTTTTCCTCCGTTAGCTTGTGCAGTGCAGAGGTTTGGCTATATCTGCAAAGTTCTTCACAAATCGCCGGTAATAGGAGCATAAACCCAAAAATGCTATAACCTGCGTCTTGTCTTTTGAAACCGGCCAATACTTGATAGCGACGATTTTCTCTGGATCCGTGCGGATACCTTCTTCCGATACTACATACCCCAAAAAGTTAACTTGCCGTTTGAATAGTGAACATTTATTCGGACTCAACTTAAGGTTGGCACTCTGAATCTTCATGAACACACGTTCCAGGTTCTGAAGGTGTTCCTCAAACGTACGGCCTACGATGATGATGTCAGACCAAACAGGCATCGTCAATTAGCCCTGTAAGTACAAGTTCCATAAGCCTTTCAAACGTTGCTGGAGCATTGCACAATCCAAACGGCATTACCTTGAATTGCCACAGACCCTTTCCCGTCTAGAACGCGGTTTTCTCCTTATCCTTAGGGTCAATATCAACTTGCTAGTAGCCACTTTTTAGATCCAGTGTAGTAAACCACTTTACTCCTGTAAGCATGTCCAGCGTGTCATCAATTCTTGGCAAGGATAGCTGTTTTTCTTTGTAACGTCGTTCAAACGTCATGATTGATCAGAATTATGGTTTCCACTTCCTTTTCACGTGCTACCGGCAAACTTCTTGGCCGCTGGCGTATAGGCAATTCTTCTCCTGTTTTTACTTTGTGTTAAAATAAGCCGGTCTTCCTTATGTCAGCATCGTTTGATGAGAATACATCGGCATACTTGAGTAACAACTTCTTCGCCTTGACCATTTCATTCCGGGAGAGGACGCTGCGACAGTCTTCTAAAAGTGTGGTCACTTTCGTTTGTGTATCCTTGCTGGGGATCCCACTCGATAGATATTGGCACCGACACAACCAATCCACTTCCTCACAAGTACCAACCAGTGTGCCTTTTTCTATAATCTATTCCTGGTCACAAAGTTTCAGCACACGTACTCCTGAGATGTTCTTTCTGGCCAAGCTGGATCTGACCAAGGTTCGAGCCACTTTCAATGGAAGGTCATTGTCTAACCTTTCCACGAGTACACAACGATGAGCTTGCCCAGGATTCAGAGGAAGACTAACCAGCACAATCTTCTTAAGGCTGTACACGTTCCCTGTGTAACTCCCCTTCCACGAAAAGTTCCTCTTGTCCACATTTCAAAACACCTTGCTTAACGTCAATCTCACAAAAATTCTTCCTCATGACGTTTAGGCCCAGGATGCAGTCGTCTATTATATCAGCCACGATGATATTATGCTCGTAGATGATGTTGCCTAGCTTCAACTCCATCTCCTTCTCTCCACGGATGGGTATGCGGACCGGTGACTGTTATCAAAGTAATGCGTTCTTGGTTGTATGCGGAGTCCCCAAGGAACTCTCTTATAAGTTGGGAACTGAGAACCGTGCGAGAGGCTCCAGTGTCTATGGTCAGTTTACATGGCATTCCATTGAGCTCGCCCTTGATGATTAGGCGTTGAAATCCTTGGGGCTCTTTCAACATCAGCCAGCACCCGCCCCGCAGTCCTGGCTTTTACTCGTTTCCCTGCTGCTGCTGGGCGGTGTTGGTAGCCGCACTACCCTCTCGAGATCGATCACCTTCACCTTCTAAAGTTCGCTTAGGGCAGCTGGATCGAAGATGGCCCCTTTCCCCACAGCCATAACACCTAGGGCTGTATCCTTTATGGCGGTCGCGAATTGTAGCTGCCGCAACATTTGCATCAATCAATCATTGCCCGATCCTCACAGCAGCTCCGACTTCAAGGTCGCGGATGCCGTCGATGAATGTCTGCACCAGGTTTCCTTCAATGAGCGCAGGTTCAGACCAGTATGCTTTTCGAATCATCTTCTCCACTTCATGGGCCTGCAGGTTTTCGTTGCTGCGTTGCGCGCGATCTTTTAGCTGCGCACGAAAGACGTGTTCCAGGTGAGCGTCGCCATATTTCGCCTCCAATGTCTCAAGAAGCTGCTCGTAGGTCACTTTCTTACCGAGAGCCTGACGCACGGCTTCCACCTCCAGTGCATGGGCCAAGGTGTCCTTAAGCGTCTCGTGGTGCCCGAGCCTCACAGCAGCTCTGACTTCAAGGTTGCGGATGCCGTCGATGAATGTCTGGACCAGGTTCCCTTCAATAAGCGCAGGTACAGACAGGTATGCTTTTTGAACCATACTCTCCACCTCAAGGGCCCCTGCTGCAGGTTTTCGTTGCTGCGTTTCACGCGATATTTAAGCTGCACGCGAAAGACGTGTTCACCTGGAACACGTCTTTCGCGTGCGTCTCCATATCTCGCCTGGAGGCGAGATATGGACGCCCACCTGGATCATTGGAATGCCACAAGGAGCTGCTCCTAGGGCACTTTCTTACCGAGAGCTTCCAACACAGTTGAGGCTTGGTCACGCAGGCCTAGGGTAAGTGCAGTCATGGCCTGGCTTTTATTCCAGCCGTTCGCCTCCATGAAGGCCTTGAACAGAATTTTGTAGGCCGACCAGGAAGAAGTCCCGTCGAACGGCGGTACTTTGAATCCACGTAGCGAAGGTGTTGTAGCTACTACGGGAGCTGTAGTTCCATCCCACAGTTTGAGGTCGTCTAGCGTTTTCTTCACGTCAGCCATCACGTTGCCAACCCGATTGTTCACTTGGTCGATTCGGGTTTCAGATTTCTCAATTTAGGTTTCAGCTTCCAACAGGCGGTTGTCATGTTGAGCAACCTTATCCTTCACCTCCTTCATCTACTTCCCGAAGGTAGCGTGAAGGTCCTTCATAAGGAGCATCTGCTCTTCCAACAGACGTGCCTGTTCCGCCTGCTGGCGGGCCTTTTCCTCCTGTCGACGGGTCTGTTCCTCCTGCCGGCGAACCTGCTCCTGCAGCATCATCATGAGAGCACCTAAGTCAGGTTCTGCAGGTGTAGGAGCTGCTGACGAGCCAGCCTCCATGGCTGGCAGTTGGCCCTCCGACGTCTGCGGCGTTGCACCACCAAATCTTCTCTGTTTCATCTCCTGCTGGCGTTGACTTCGGGTACGGACACCCTCCGATTCCTCCTTCGGTAAAATCGGAATGATTTAATCCCACTTCTGACACCAATTGTTACGAGCTTAGGGGTTCGTGACAATAAAAACTGCTGACTGAATTACTAAAATTTACACTTTTATTATCTAACACCAATTAAAACTTAAAAGTACACTAATATTTAATCACACTGATTCACTTTATTTCGCTCCGAAGCTTCGCTTGTCTCGCCAAATTCAATACTGCTCCGATTGCGGCTATAAACGGCTTTATATAGGGCTCTTCCACGAAAACATCCAGAATATTCCAGTAAATATGGGGCCGCGACCGACCAGGCGCAGAAAGTTCGAGTTCTAGAAGCCCCCACTTCTAGAAAGCTTAGTTCTTCAATTCGATACTAGTTGGCGCTGTTGGTTGAAAAATTAGTCACGGCATTTTTTGGAAAGCTGTCCTCGCTCTGTTACCCGACACTAGATGGCGCTAGTGCCAGGTACCAGCCGTCAACTTAGGTGCGCAACAATATAATCCACACAAGTAGCTATAACACGACCATGATTTTATTTATTAGCAATGCGCTATAGATCTCCCATTCCATTACCATATCAGCTTATCAAAAGCTCACTAATTAACACAAGTCTTCCACATAGAGAACCCCATAGGGGGAAAGTAGCCATAGCAGTCACGCTTGGAAAGCGGTTTGGCAACCGAAGTTATTTTATTATTTTGAGTTGTCACTAGGGAGATGCTTTGATCTTCTGTTCCATATCCCTCTGTCGCCTCTTACACGCAGAGGATGGTATGGGGTAGCGGATTTTCTTCACTACACCGACACTACACTGCACTCTATAAAGACCATTCAGTTTTAAGTACCTCTGGCAAGAAAACTTCAGCTACAAACACGTAAGGTACCGTGCCCGCACCAAGCGTGTACATGATGGCGAACAGATATATGAAAACACCCGTGATCCAGTGCGGGCCCCAGGGCAAATTTATCTGCGTGCCCAGCGCCACGCAACATATCCCCGCTCCAATGGACGAATAGATCATGAGAGGCTAAAAAATAAAAAATTAAAATAAAATATATGAATAACTTAAAGTAAGCTTTATTATAAAACAGTGCTTGATTGCAATGCTACCTGGTGGTAAGTGATGATGAGACCCTAAATGAAAGATCTCATTTCAGATTTCGTTTCAGAGTAGCAATCATAATCGAATGGCAATACCGCCGCCGGAAAATATTTCTTCTACTCCTATTGGTAAGTAAGACAACTGGGCTCTACTCGCTACTCTAACGGGCTACAAAATTTACAATTAATACTCGAAACCACTAATTTTGTAAGAATCTGCGGTTGTATGAAATTTCACTATCTTATCACCGTGCGGCGTGCATCCAAGTAGACGGCATAACCGATGCGGGCGCACTGCGCGAAGCGTGCGGCAGCAGTGACTGTGTGAGCGTGCGCCCAATGTTTATAACGCGACTGACCTCGACAGGGTTTTGCACGTAAGGTCTCGACACGAAAATACCGAGGTGAAAAAAACTGTGTAAGATAAGAGCAGACAGCGACCCCTGACGCGTCCATTTCCGCCAGCCTTTAAAGGTTCCACTTTCAACACAAGTGAACACAGCGATAAATTGCGATGGAGAATAAACCATAAACCAGTAAAAGAAGTATAGTGCGAGCATATCTCTATGTTGTTCTATCAACTATAATAAAGTAAATAAATATGCTAAAAATAAAAATAAACTTATTGCGAGTGGACGATACGCGTTCATAAAGAAAAGAAGACTTGATAAGTCTAAGCAGTGAGTTGTTGCTGTTTAAAACTTAAAAATATAATATTCAAGTTCACGTTTTAAAAGTGTGCGATAAGTAATGTAAATGTGATTAGTAATATAAGAATTCATAAATAACCTAGTTTATTTTTACTATTAAAAATAAAATAACGTGCGAGAGTAAAACTGATAAATCTTACTAGTAGTTAAGGCGTTGGTAGCAGACAAAGCTCTACAACTGGCCGTTGAAAAACACCTTGCTTAGTTTTGATGGAGGCAACGCGTGTGATACCATCCTTTACAGTTTCATTTACAAGTGGATTAGTAATCGTAGTACTGGCGAGTTGGTTACCATACCGCCTATCATAAAGCGTTATATTTCTCTAGCATTGCCCATACTTATGTGAAATTAAGTGGTGGATTCTCTTACGTCAATACCACACGGCTGTTACGCAATATTGAATGTTATGTTTTAAAGATTAGATTTTTGCACGTATTTGTTTAAGCTTCACATACATTAAAAAAATAAAGGGTGACAAACAAGTACACAGTCCACCTGATGGTAAATAAGTTCTTCGAGTTACAGATATCTACATATACCTTCGATACTATGTTATCAAAATAAAGACGTGATTTTATAGCAGTGGGGGTGAACGATCATGCGGCTAACATAATGGAAAGTGTCGACCGCCATCCACAAACAACTGCAATCCCAGGGGAATTACAGGAGCGTGGCCGGCCTTTTAAAACGGAGTTAACTCGTTCCTTAAAGGTTCCGGAAAATCGCCGAAAAAAATGCGATGCCACCTCTGAGGACTAATATGGAATACCTCATTAGTAATAGATAGGTCACCGATTCTCACCACCCACAGTACGAAATACAGCAGCGTTATGCTATTTAATTCTGGTATTCTGTGAGATCGATCTTACTTGCCCGGTCAAGCCGACTAATTTGTGCTACAAATACATTATAACTGCAGCAGCTTGCAGCTCTTTATTTCTAAAATAGTCTCTAAAACCTCATACCCGTCGTCCAGCTATGTCAATTAAGTATGCAGCGACACAACTAGACACCACAGACACGACAGCAAGTAGTACACAGGACAGCGTTGAAGAAATATTGGGAAGCGTCTCCTCAAATACTGGTTCTGCGTAGACTTGTATCGCCACTAAGCCTTGGAACATTGTCGCGGAGTACAGAGCCAGAGCTACGAACAACGCTTGACGTGTGGAGCGTGACTTTTCTGGAAAAAGGCGTATCTTTATATCGTATATCTTTTGGCGAACTTATTGGCGAAATATAACTTTAGGCGAACGGGAGTTGAGTTGGGGATATAAGCAAGAGAGAGCAGTGCGCGCGCACATTTTCTTTCGCTCTTTCTCTCATAGCCAGTTATTTTTCGTCATTTTATTTCGTTTTCGTAATATTTTTTTCAATAAATAAAATATTCTACGTTTAAAGTGAATACAATTGTAAATTTATTTTAAAGTTCATGTTTTGTAAATTTTCGGGTGAATAATAACAAATTATGGAAGGAAGCCGATAGTAAATTTAAATATCTGTAGAAAATTAATATAATATGTACCTATATGTGTATAATATATACATGTGTTTTATTTTTTAGAAAATTTTAGCGATAAACTTTCATTCGTTTTGATGGAAAGTGGTTACTGTAGCCTATTGATACCTGCAGGCAACTTCAAACAAAAAAGGGCCATAGATGCATTGGCATCAATGATGGCTATGAGGACTAAGATCGAATGTCTCACAGTCTATTATTATATTGGCTCTCGTCAGACCGGAACGCAGAAGTGCAGGCACTGACATCAGACATCATCAGAAATATATCTCGATGTATACTTACGCACTATTATAAGTTATATACGTAATTGAGCCAACTGCAGCTATTATGGTTGTAGTATGAATGGGTCGGATCGAATGGGGAAGGACCACGCTCGGACAGAATACCAGCGTAAAATAGCCGTTTAATCCTGCTGTGTTTCATATGGTGAGTGTGGAGAACCGGAGACCCGTTTTACTGGAATTTTAGTCCTCAAGGGTGACAACGCATCTACGTTTTGATTCCTAAATGAGGTTAAATGTCCACTTACCATCAGGTGGACTATGTGCTCGTTTGTAAGCCTTATCCTATAAAAAATTATCAATAGAATGAACTAGCATATAGCACCGCACGTTTTTAGTCAACCTTTTAAGATACCCACAGCTGATGGAACCATCCATCAACTATGGGTATCGTCTACTACGACTATTGGAAACGCCTCAAAATGTTATGTCTTCTAATGAAGATTAGACACCTTCGCAGACAGGATTTTAGTGCCCAAACGTATGCGCTAGTACAGATGAACTCTATATTCCCTCAATGTCATAGTCTGAAGGAACGAATGGAGAGGAATTAGGCGAAAGACCAACTGCTTTATGTGCTACACCGCCAATTTATTGACATGTAGTGACTTGTAGTTCAAAGAAGTCTTTGAACTACAGTGGTGGGGACACAACTAAGTAGTCAGTTGTGTCCGCACCAGTGAGGCAGTTGCGCCACAGAACAATCAAGAAGTAACCGCGTCGCATAGTGCGAGTTATCGTCACGCACCGCCATCTTCCAACGCACCATAAGACCAGGAGCGTCGTCCACGCGGTACCAAAAGAAACTCCACCCCGGTAAGTGCGTCTTTCCTTTTACTTGGACTTGAGCCGTTCTTTTTTGTTTCCCCGTCACATATTTCTCCCTACCGGCTCAATTAGAACTCCATCAAGAGTCTGGTAAAAAAGTAAATTTTAGGAAGAGCAAGCGCATCGTCCAAGGCTGTCGCGTGCCACGTCGGTCATCTTGTTTTGAGGTTTCAAGAAACCGCACATACAGTCTAAATAGTGACGCCTCGCATAATAAGGTCAAGGCACGACCCGAGGAATCGAACCTAAGAAACCCTATCGCCGAAAACATTTAAAATTATTAGCGCGCCATCATTTCTGTTCCTTCGCCTCGGATCTAGTCATTCGCCACACCACATATTTAAAGAATAACTACCGTTATATCTTAATATTCACTAACTTTGTTTTTGCTTTTACTTTATTTTTAATTTTTACCACTTTGAGTGGATTATCACAATCTCAACGTCGTCTAAATCGTTACATTCAAAATTCCACCCTTATGTAATGCTACCCTTAGGAGTAGGATTTTGTTGCCTATTTTATATTGATACCACCTCTAAAGTATAACCTATATAATAACAAAAAATAATCGAAGTTGGTTTTCAACTGACAAAGATATCGCTTTACATAAAATATAAAACATAAATCTCTAATTAAGAACTCCTTTGCTTTAAGGCAGCTAAAACTTGCTTATATTAAAAAAATAACACCAGCTAAAAACGTCCTAATATTTAAAAAATAACACAACCTTCAAATTATTTGAAGCAATAAAACGTATACGTAAGCTTTGTTATAATATGCATAAAAAATAAGCCACGCAATTTCATTATTAAATTATTTTACATCTTCAGATAAGAATATTTGTGTAGCGTTTTAGTGATTACGAACATACACTCTAAAAAAACTGACATTTGTGGATTCAATAATTAAGTTTTTATTAGTAATTAAGAGTAAAAGAAAACAAAATATTTATTCAACACATTAATCAGTGTATGTTGTGGCCAATATACAGGCATCGATAAAGATGAAGTGTTTCGTTGATAGTAAAAACATCCTCAGTTCCTTTCGCTCATACGAAATGCAGCAGCAGATGGTACGGTACCTACCGTCTTACCTATTTCCGTCGCTATCTAAAGGGAACGTCAGTATATTAATAGGCTGTAAGGCATTTGATTTTGATTTTGAAATTGGGTGGAAAACCGGCACTTGAAGTCCTTCAGAAGCTCTTTAATTCTGTCTGTGTTGTTCATGTTAGCACTACTGTCGAGGCGTGGAGCAGAAGGGCGGTGGTCTTGTTCTTCAACAAAGGCGACAACGCTCTCTTGAAGAACTAGAGACCGATATACTTTCTGGGCCGCGTCCACGTGCTGTTCTCGAGAATCATTAAGAATGGTCTCGCACGCAGAATCGACGAATTCCAACCTCTCGAACAAGTCGATTTCTGAAAAGGCTTTGGTACCATAGACCACATACATACCCAAAAAAATCGGCAAATTGTAAAAGTACAATCTGTCACTTTGCCTGGTGTTTGTAGACTATGAGAAAGCCTCTGATTCCGTCGAAATTTGGGCGGTGCTACAGTCCCTTCAGCGATGCCAAGTTGACTGTCGCTATATCGAAGTGCTGAAGCGTTTGTACAGTAGGGCTACGATGGCTATCCTAGTACAGAACCAGAGTACGAAACCTATCCAACTGCAGAGAGGTGTAAGACAGCGTGACGTTATATCCTCGAAACTCTTCACCACTGAATTGGAAGACGTTTTCAAGCTACTGAACTGGAAAGGATACGGTATTAACAGCAATGGCGAGTACATTACCCCCTTTCGATTCGCCGACGATATAGTCCTTATGGCAGAATTGCTAGAGGACCTAAGCACTACGCTCAATGACCTCAATTCTGTCTCACAACGGATAGGTCTTAAGATGAACATGGAAATAACGTAGATCATGTTCAATGTCCGTGTTACACCTATTTACCGGTATTTGTTATGAGCGTTAAGCTCGAAGTTGTTGACGAGTACGTTTACCTGGGACAAACAAATAGGACACTCAATAAGTTTTGAGATATAAAAAAAGTGTTCTAGATACTATTAATATTTATTTTATATCTTTTTAAAATGTTCTCCATTATGCTCTATAAAAAGTTCCGTTCGCCTAAACCAACTCTGAAAATACTTTTGCCAGTCTTGATCTGACAGGTCGGATATCGATTCTTCGTAGGCAGCCATGGCTTCGTCGGCGCTTGAAAAAAACTTGCCTTTCATTTTTTCTTTGACTCATGGGGATAAAAAGAAATCACAAGGAGCTAAGTCAGGGCTGTATGGTGGGTGACTTAGAGTTTCAACACCAGATTCCTCAATTAATGCTTTTGTTCTAAGAGAGGTATGTGAAGAGGCATTATCGTGATGCAGCATGGTTCCCCGAAGACCGGTCTTTGATCTTCTCTCCCGCACAGCTTGAAAAGCTTTGGGTAGTGCAACTATAGTATATCATTCACAGTTGACTGATCTACAATTTTCCAGCATTGACGTCCGCAAATGTCCGCTCTGCGAAAAAAACTAGCCACCATTTTTTTGCCGACGATGGTCGGATGCGAGGTCTTTGCAGTTTTGTCGGTTACTGTCTAACTAGACCCATACCGATGATTGCCTTTTATTTTCCGGATCATATTGATAGATTCGAGTCTCGTCACCAGTAACGATTTCTGCGACACACCTAGATGCCCCGTTTTCAAAACAAAGACGCATTTCATGGCACCAATCCACACGAGTCTGTTTTTCGCTTTCGGAGAGCGAACAAGGAAGCCATCGACAACAATGCTTTCTCACTCCAAGATGTTGGTGTAGCATGGTATGAATACTCGCCGAACTAATGCCTACAATCTTTTCGATGTCCGTATTTGTAATTCGTGGGTCTTCTCGCACCAATATTTCAATAGTACATACATTTTCTGCCATTAGTGCTATTTGTGGGGCCCCTGTTCTTTAGTCATCTTTAAGGTTAATTTTGGCCCTTTTGTGAATTCAGCAAACCACCTAGAAAGTGTTGCGTGTGATGGAGATGAGTCTCCTTATGCTGATTGTAACCGTTGTAAACTTCATTCTTCGGTTAAACCAAATTTAAAATCATAATAGATCATAGCGCGCAAATTTTCACGGTTAAGATCATTTTAAACGAAAAGCGCGGGAAGCGTTGCGTATTAATTTCCTAATATAACTTGTTTTTTTATATTGAGAAACTGGCTTATGGAGTTCTAGTTTTAAATAAATTTGCTATTTATTTAAAAATAGAACTCGGTCGGCGGTGTGTTCCCCCCGTCATCGAGAGTCGAGTTGAACGCAAAGAGAGAGCCTAACAGATCAGCTTTCTCATTTGCGGCATGGGCCAGTGAGCCGTCTTCTCTGTGCAGATATGGTAGAGATGACTGACAGAAGTTCCCTTAGACAGCCTTGGCGAGAGACCAGAATGCACGTGTTCCCGAAGGAAGGTGAACTAGCTTCTCGCCAATTCTGCCGATGTACTCAGACCTTGCCTTGGCAATGACTCTTTTGAAGGACCTGGTGTTGGAATTATACTTCTTTTTAAGAGCGCTGGTGTTTAAATCTCGAGATATTGATGTGTCAGCCTAGTCCCGGTAGCACTCCTGCTTATAGCGTGATGCTATTTTACAGTACATCAGTACAGTACATTTATCATACAGCAATCTAGTGCAAAAATCATTTATTATGTGGTGCTATATCCATTTAAATACAGTTTTTTTAATTCCTAATAAAAATTCCTAAAAATCGAATAACTTTGTCAAATAGGGTTGTAAAAAAGTTATTTCTCAAAATGTTACTACTCATAAATTTTTCATTTTGCATTTTTTTTGTTGTTTCAGTTCCGCAGCTAGTTATAGTCTAGTGAGCAATGCGGCTGCAACTAGTTTTTAGTATGATGATAATGATATGGTTGTGTAATCCGTTGCCATCCATCTTTTCATACTATTGGAATGTGGGTGTCATTACGGGTGAGTTAGTGTGTGCCGGCGCTTTCGTCGCACCACAAGCGAAATACACAGAGGCATAAATCACGCTATCAAAGTTCCAAATCATAAACAGTATATATAGAACAGCTCAGAACTATCACATGGAGGCGGAAGATCACCCCTTTTCCTTTCATGGTCACAAGTGAATAACACTGGCTTACAACAGTATAAAATATTTATTTATTTTTATTTATTTATTTAACTTCATATACACATTAGATGTATAGAGGCGGACTTAATGCCTGAGGCATATAAGCGTATAAATATATACATATATAAACACTATGTAAGTATATATATATACATAAAATTAAATATATATAATATACATTATATATACACACATACAAACATATATATATATATATACATATATATATATATATATATATATATATATATATATATATATATATATATATATATATATATATATCTAATATTAAACACGCTAAGTTGATTCTGCCATTTTATTGATGAGCAGTTCTCGCACTTTAGACTTGAACGAAATGCGGTTTTCGGCACTCCTGATTTCGGAAGGAAGAGCATTCGAAAGAAAAACAGATTGAACAAAGAACGATGATTGTACAAAGTTAGTACTAAAAGGGGGGCACTGAAGCAAAAGGTTATTACTAGAACGGAGAACTCTATCATAGTTGGAGCTAAGATATTGAAAATGAGGAGTTAAATAAGCTAGAGGATTAGGAAACATCAAGATAGAGTAAAGAGTAGTGAGTGCACGTAGACTACGGCGCTGACGAATGGGTAACCAGTTAAGTTGAGAGCGATAAGTAGACACATGATCATACTTTCGAAGATTAAAAATAAATCGAATGCAGTAAAAACATCATAATTATCTCAAGCAAACGTATTTAGAATCAAATTTATACTTGCTACTTACTGAGAAACTTCCATTTTGACACCTTCTCCTGCTTTTTTGATTCTGGTTTCAATTTCTCTTCCTCAGGAAACACATCTGTAATCGTAAAAGTTATAAGCGCAGCTTAAATTTACAATCATAAATATTTGCTTCTTTATCACCATCAGCTCCTAATAGCATGCACAGGCATAAACCACTCCTACAGAACGTAATTATTACCAATATCAGCATGCTTACCAGGCGGAACAAGAAGTATGTGTATAGAATACAACAAAAGAGGCCCATGCATAGTAGTCGATTCAAGCAGGATTATGCTGCTATTTATGCTCGTATTCTGTGAGAGCGTGGTCATTTTCCTGCCAAGTCGACATATTTGAGCTGGAATAATAATATATTAGTAGACTAGCGACTAGCGAGACTCTATCACGTATGAAATATTATTTGCAAGACCAAGTTTTGGTTGAGGTATAAGTTTTACTTTGAAAACCTTACGTTTATTTTTGCATGGTTATTGGTACTATGCAGATTATCTTATTAAACAAAAATAAACCCGAGCGTGTTATCATTCTCGAGTTATCTTTTACCGCGCCATCGTCATTTGATGTAATCTCGAATAATAAAAAATACTTGCGCACTCGTGATTTATTTCATTGTGTTGAGAGTAAATATTTATGCTGTAGCAAAAGTTAGTTTAGACAGTTACGTCTATTTGTTCATTATGGTAAAATTTATCCTACACGTAACGATTAATTAAAGTATGTTGTGTTTTTTATCAAGTGAAATTAAATCAATATCAACACATGGCCAAAGGAATATCAAAATCTCAATGCCGTTCATATATATTAATTCCCCGTAAATATTTTAAACTCTTAAAAATCCTTTTAAGTAGTCCGGAAGGCAGCGACATTATTTGTGAGATTATTCCTACAAAGCTGATTCTTTGTTACTTTGTTATTTTGAGATTGTACGTAAACAGAATGGCAGTCTACCGCGCCGACGTTGTTGCAAACATTAGTAACAATTTTTGAAACCCGTAAATAAATAATTCGTAAATGTATTATACCTACAAGACTGAAACTTCTTACAGTGACCAAGGATACCTAAATATACAGGATAATGATAGTCTACCACCTCAGAAGCGTTACTATCTAAGGTACCACCATCCATATAAGGTACCACTTACATAATTTGTGAAAAAATTAACTTTTTGGACTTATTTCTACAAGGCTGAATTTTTTTTCTCAAATAGTTAGGTTTATTAAAAAACGAAAAAAAAACAGTCTACTGAGAATCCAACTTGCTAAAACCTTGGTAGACGCGATGGAATACACTATCTCCCTAGCGCTCAGTCGCTCTAAATAATTAGACATACTGGCAATAATTTAAAATATACAAAACTGGTTTTTCGTCTACGAGTGGTTTATGTTAATTATTATTAAATTATCGTCGTCTACTTTCGATAGAAGGTGGCTAAATCTTCGGTAGACTTGGCCCAAGTTGTATAAATTTTTATAAACTAAAAAACTAAAAATATTAAATAAAACTAAAAATATTTGAGAAAAAATCAGCCTTGTAGAAATAAGTCCAAAAAGATAATTTTTCAACACATTACGTGGATGGTAGACTTTAGATGGCAACGCTTCCGAGGCGGTAGACTATCATTCTCCTGTATATTTAGGTGTCCTTGGTCACTGTAATAAGTTGCAGTCTTGTAGGTATAATACATTTACGTACTATTTATTTACAGGTTTCAAACATTGTTATTAATGTTTGCAACACTAAAAGCTTGGCGAAATTTCATTTTCATTATTTACACAGTATAAACACTGTATGACTGAAAAATTAGCTGTGTAGGTATGGTGCAAAATTTCGGTCGCTGTCTCCTGGACTATTAGGAGACTTACGCTCCATTAAATGAAATTACGATATGAAAATGAGTGTCTGCATAAAGTTATTAAAACGGACTAAATTACTTTATCGTCATTACTGCCTATTAAAGACGTGCTATTTAAGCATGAAGCTCCTAAGCCATTTTCATCAACCTCCTTCATCCCTTACTTCAAAAGTTCATCTAGAGTGATCGCCATATACTATGCTCGATTATTTTTTATTGATACAATCCATTAAAACAATATGCAAAGCAACTACTTTACATTACAACTTAAATGACGGTTTACAGAAATGATATGTGACCATTTTTTGGTCACATATCATTTCTGCAAACCGTATTTGAAGCTTCGAGACCCTAAATAGTCTACTAATTCTTATTTTTACTGAAGTTAGTTAATGACACAGCAAATATTGATTTATTGTCACCACAAGGATCAGTTCAGATCTGGCTCTTTATTTTTTATTTTCTATTATCTATCTATTACCTTATTTTTTTATGTTTATATTTTCTACACAAAAACTTTTATTTCTTAAATTCTTTTGAGTTACTACATTTGATACATTGCACTTAATTTTTTGGCCCTGATGCAAAAATTTGTGTGTTATTTTTGTCTGTTCGTGTGGTCCCAAGAGATTAAACTGCGATTTAGATTAATTTATTTTTTGTGTCAAAGTTGACTTGATTGAGTGTTTTCTTGCCTATGATTCAAGAAAATGTTTTTAAGCCGTTTGAAGATCAACAGCTCTTTTTGTTTCATGTTTTTTTTTTAATTTTAAATTTAAGTTCTTAATCCTGGTCAGTGCATCATCTTGCAAACCACACTCTTCTTTTATCACCCTGTCACTCAGATTCAGCCCTAACATCCTCCTTAGCGACCGCACTTCTACTGCATTTATTCTACTCTCGTGCTTCTTCTGCCACACCCAACTTTCACTACCTACTGTTAAAGTAAGGACTAATACAGCATTGTGAATTGCCATACGTGCCTTTTTTGACATATTCTGACTTTTCACAATAGAGTGTAGAGCCCCATTTACTTTATTTCTTATTCTATAACTTAAAAGTATAATATGATGTCAACATTTTCTGTCTAGATATATTCCATCATAATTAACTTTTGTAGTGTCAAAGTTTCACAAACTTTTCTTTAACCCTTCAATCCCCATTAAAATTCGCGAACGGTCGCATGCGACCGCACTAACCCACAGCAGTTTAAACCATTAAAACTTATGTTTAGAGACTACTTTTCTATAAAGAAGTTTAGCATTATAAAATCTATACAAAATTCTCTATCCTGTGGTCTAACCAAAACTCAGATTTTACTTCATTACAAAAAAGATTTTATTGTTTTTTGATAACAAAAAAAATCACAAGCGGGTGTCGACAGCGTGAAAATCACAATTATTTCTATATATTACTCGAATTTATTTACGTAAAAAGATAAATTATATTTACACGAAAACTTTCATTACAATTTTATAATAAAACACTATACCAAAACACTAATGAAGAAAATGACTATTACAACCTAGAGAGATTTATGTAAGAACAAATAAACAAAAATAAAATAATCAAGAAAAAAATTCTTAACCCTCCACAAAAACACTGGATAAACCGAGATATTATAAACTCAATAAATTTACGAAAAAACTTATGGTAGCAGACTAAATCTCACCCAAAAGATGATAATCTACAAAAAAACTTAATTGAAGAGCAGAACAAAGTGAAAAATCTTATCAAGACACACAAGAAAATCTACTATTATAACTTATTTCATAACAGTTACAATAAACCTAAGAAAATGTGGGACATAATTAATGACTTAGCGTTAAACAGAATTAAAGACAGCAGTGCTCCTCCCAAACTAATATCGAACACTGGACTAATAACAGAAGGTAATTCAATATGTGACTTATTTAACTCATTTTTCTCCTCATTAGGCTCGGACTTGGCTAACAAAATTCCTAATAAGTATCACCAAAACAGCGGTAACACGCTTATGTACGAACTTAACTATACACATGAAATAACACTTAGTGAACTTACAAACTGTATAGTATCAAAAATAATCGATGATCTTGATACCAACACTAGTACCGGTCTAGATGGCATCAGCACCAATTAAATGCCTTAAAATTATAATTGTAGAGAGGCTAACGAACTGCATAAATATGTGTTTGACACGCGGTGTTTTTTCCGACACACTTAAAATTGCTAAGGTCAGTCCTATTTTTAAATCCGGAAGTAGGACTAACCCAAGTAGCTATAGACCAATCTCTGTCTTGCCTGTTATATCAAAGATATTTGAACGAGTACTTTATAACCGCCTAAATGAATACCTAATAAAAATGAAGTTTTTAATTGACCAACAATATGGCTTTCGTTCCAAATCGAGCACTCTGACAGCTGCAGTAGACTTTAATCACAAAAGTTAAAACTCAAATCGATTAAAGGAATTTCGTTTTGGGGATTTTTATGGACATAAAAAGCATTTGATACAGTAAGCCATCATAAATTGTTGCAGAAACTAAACAAGATGGGGGTTATAGGCAGGGCCCTCGAGATGTTCACATCGTTTTTACACAATAGGGGACAAGCTGTTCAAATGGATAGTTTTACCAGTTTGATTAAAAGCGTATCCTACGGCTGTCCTCAAGGCTCAATTATAAGTCCATTATTGTTTTTGATTTATATAAATAATATAAAGAAAATGGGGCTAACAAGGAACCTAATATTATATGCCGTAGACACATCTCTCTTCTATTTCGATAAATCTATTCACAACATTATAACCCATGCTCAAAAAGATCTCGATTTACTCGAAGAATGATTAAATTATAACTTGCTTACAATTAATATGTCAAAAACATCTTTTATGATTTTTTCTACAAAGAATAAACCTTTACCAGAGTTTGCACATCTTACTATTGAAGATAAAATAATAAAACGTTCAACTAAGGAAAAATATCTAGGTCTATTGGTAGATGATAAACTCACTTGGAGAATGCATATCGATCACGTCAAATCAAAACTGACGTCATTACTAAACGCACTACGTAAAGTTGCAAACTGTATCCCGGAAAAGGTTCGTACAATCATATTATACAACTCTTTAGTTAAATCACATATCGAATATCTAATTGAGATATGGGGATCAGCCGCTAAAACAAATCTAAATCCACTTCAAAGGACACAAAATAAAATTATCAAAACATTATTCGACTATCATTATCTAACTCCAACAAAAGTACTATACGAAAAAACTAACTTACTAAACCTTACACATGTAATGTATAGTACATTTATTGCACTTGCACTCTAATAAAAAATATTACCACTAATTCTATTCAATCAAACATACAATTACATAAAAAAACAACAACACACAACTTAAGAAGTAAAAATAAACTACAATTAATAACTGCACGAACTAATTATGGCAAAAAATCCTGTTGTTTGAGGGAGCACAGCTGTTCAATAAACTACCAGATGACATAAAAATTGCAATAACATGAAATTGTTTAAAAGTAAACTTAAGAAATACGTACGTACAGTGTAATCTTTTCCGAATATGTGGTATCTCATATGTATACCTCATAGTAAATAATCTTAATCTTAATCCTAATCTTATATCTTATAGAAAATAAGCTTAAACTATAACACTTCCAGCACTAGAGGTAGATGTGATAGTTTTACTTTAGTATAATAATTACTTTACTTTCTCTCATTATAAGTGAACCATTGTATGTTATTATGAGAAATAAATTTATTTAAACCGAATAAAACGTTAGAAAAATCCGAAAATCAACACAATAACATTCACATGAAAGTGGCATACGAAATGAATGTAGATTATAAATAAATATCCAGAGACTTACTGGCTTTTTATTCCACTAGAGGATAGAAAATTTCATATTGATTCTATAATGCCACACTTCTTCGTAGAAAAGTAGTCTTTAAACATAAGTATTGATGGGTTAAAATGCTGTGGGAGGGTGCGGTCACATTTGACCTCTTGAATTTTGACGGAATATCGAAGCGGTCAAATTTGGACGCTTGCCGTTTGAGAGCTTAATAGAATAGGGATGGCAAAACGCATAGTCCACTTAATGGTAAGTGAATACTGTGGCCTACAGACATCTATATCTATCCTCATTTAAGAATGTGAATACCATTGCGTTGTCACCCTTGAGGACGAAGATGAAATTCCACGTTTCCAAAGGTCTCTGGTTCTCTATGCTTGCTATACGAAACACAGCAGCATAAAGCTGCATTTTGACGCTGGTATACGAATTTATGCGTACCTTCAAGATCAGCTTTGAGTGCTCTTTTAAGTGTATTTATTTCTTGTGTCACCTCTTTGGATGTTTCCTTAACTCGTCTATAAAACGCCACGGCTTTCATTGCATCCTAGAATATAATTATTTTTGCCATAAGATAAATTAAAAATGATAAAACAATATTTCAATGTGAAAAATGTGACATTACACTCTAAACTTACGTTCTCTAATCCGTTTTTCATTAAGAACAATGGCGACTCTTTCAGAGGCCATAACAACAAAACTGCCAATACTGACATAGATAAACACATGTAAATCATCGTATTGAACTCCAAACATCCACCCAATAAATATGAAAGGAGTATTCCGAGCCCATATGCAATTACTGATCCAGAAGTCATCATTCCCCTAACAGATTCCTGACAGAACTCACTAACGAATACTGGGGCGAGTAGCAAGGTACAACCGCCAAATCCTGATATAAACATAGCTGATAATACAGCTTCCACTCTGGAGCTAATAGATACTATCAGCCATGCCACCTGTAAAATAAAAGAGTTATGTATAATGACGTACCGCATATACAAAATACGTGCTATTGGTTGACAGTTCTCTACCTCTTTATCATCGATGTGTAAGTATCACCTCACCTACTAAGACCTCACCTGTTAAGGAGTCCTTTTACTAGATGCCTTGTCTCCGTTTGGATATTTTAGTCTTGCGTTGACTACAACGCTATCTGTCACAAGCCTTAAGATACCACGGGATGAAAATAGAGTTATAAACCTTAACCAAACATGTTACAGCACATGTTGATGGTTACTTATAAAATTTATTTTATGCCTGTATTACAACTGCATCCGCAAGATCGAATACAAAGTTTAAGAATTATGTGTCTTCGCTGTTAACTCTTATTATGTGTGATTATAACTACTTTTACGGATTTTATCGCGTTTATTTTTGCTTTTAATTACTTTTATTTTTAATTTCCGACGTTTCGGGCGCTTTCCAGCACATTAAAAATAAAAGTAATTAAAAGCAAAAATAAACGCGATAAAATCCGTAAAAGTTGTTTTAATCATGTGTAGTGTTCGCGTAAATATAAGAAATCTTATTATGTGATTAATTATAAGTTCGATTTTTTAGTTAAAAAAGTTTTGATTTTATGACAACAAATCACTACACGGAAAATTACTACACAGTTGTAGGGAATGGGTCAATGGGTATATAAGCTAATTTTGATCAGATATTCCAATAATTTTAAAATATCTTCCAATAATTTTATAATAAGTAATATGTTTAATATAGTTTTATTGTGTATTGGTTTAAGAAATAAAATATGTACAATAGTCTTTAAAATAAATATAATTATTTTATTCTTTTGGGTTGAGCGTTGGAATAATGCAGGCATTAAAATCTACTAAGAACTCTACGGATTATGTCAAGATCAACGGGGCCTACTCGGGCTGGTTTGGAATACAAAAAGGTGTCTTGTAATATTGTGTAGGTTCTCCGTGGCTGTTCAATCTATTTATGGAGAGTTGTTTAGAAACTTTGGAATTTAATGAATTTCGATGATCAAGTTATATTTGCTTCGTTGGAAGGCGTGATGCAAATAATGGTAACAATAATAAATAGGTAATTAAAATAATAGATAATAAAAGTAAATGCAAGTAAGATGAAAGTTTTGGTGGTTAAAAAAGGAGAAAGCGAAAGGATAGGTGAAATAAGAATAGAAGAGCGTTGGTTGAGCTTGTATAAATAGAATGATGCGTTTAGCAGGGATATTAGACTTGACAGAGGTATAGAACGACCAGTGAATGCAGGGTATTTAATGAGGCTCTTCACTCTATTTTAGGAAGTCAGAATGTATTAACGTCTCAAAAAGATACGTACGGCAATTCATAATGCTGTTTTGGTATGTGGCAGAGAAGATTGAAAGTACCATTATGCTATAGAAATTGAGTCATTTAGAAGTATGTTAGAGCTGATTCTGGAAGATGTGATGACAAATTGTGTGATAAGAGAAAAGTTTGGTTTGCACAACGTCTTTGCAAATTTTTGCTGCGGTAGTCGGTGGCAGAAGGAGTACAAGAGAGGCACTAGATGGATGTTTATCCACCAAATTGGCGATAAATTGAAAATGGGCCAAATTAAGAGCTCGCTTAAATGACGGGCTTAGGTATGAATGTGAAAGCGATAAAGGTTCGTGGCAAATAGAGGTCCATAGTCTCTGTCTAGCTTTTTGGGTAACAGGCGTCAAGGTCTATGTATGTATGATATGTATATATATTAAACAATGGCATTTTTCTTTTTACTAAGTATAAGCCAGTAAATATTTGACTACAGGTCCACCTGAAGGAAGTAGTGATAAAGCCCTAGATGGTAAATTGCAATGTCTTAATGGTATTTTTTGGCTTAATTTGAGTTTTATTACGAGTATATCACTGTGTGTAACTATTTGACACATCCTTGGTTATGATTACCGGCAGAAAAATATAAATTATATAGGTTAATTGGAAAGGTAGGTGTTACCTTTGTGATAGACATACACACCTGCAAGTACAGCACTTAACAGTTACGTTATTTGTCACGGAACAATTGCAAAAGTCAGCAGCCTCTTTCGTGGTAAGGAGATTTAGTAGAAACATCTTTCTTGTACGCCTTTTACTATTACAGTATCAGATGTCTTGCACCTTTGATGCTTTGCTCGTTGTTCGTCCGAGTGAATGAGATGGTGATATCGCCATTTGTAGGAAGCCATAAGATTTTCTGATATTTCAATACGGCACTCACGGGACGAAAGCGATGACAGATTCCCTTACGTCGCCACTAAAAAGAGACAAGAGCCTTTTTTATAGCATAGGGTGAGAAACGAGCACACAGTCCACCTGATGGCAAGTAGTTGCTGTGGCCCATACATCATGTGGCATATACATTTATCCTCAATTAAGAATCAAAATGCAAATGCGTTATCACCCCTGAGAACTAAGATGGAATGCCTCAAGTCTCCGGTTCGCTACACTCATCATACGAAACATAGAATCATCAAGCTGCTATTTTACGCTGGTATTCTGTGAGAGCGTGGTCCTTTACCGGTCGAGCTGACCTATTCGTGCTACAACTACACAATTTAATATAGCTCTACCACGTTCAAAGTCTAATCATTTATTAAATGTGTTTTATAAACATACCACTTGCGGCAGAGAGAACAAAATGCAGCTATTTTTTCTGCCTATTCTATCTAGAAGAATCCCTGAGAAAGGAGTTGTGAATATGGCGCTGATTGAGGAAAAGCTTCCGAATAGCGCTATCTCATTCTCGCTCATAGGCCGATGCAGAGTTGTGTTAGCGGATGAAAAAAGTTTAATAGTCGATGATGGCCACGCGTACATCAATGCCATGGTCAAACAGGAGTAACATACTGAAAGATAATTTTTTTATAGAACATAAATATAGAATAATTATGAAAAAAGCAAATTATCTATCTATGGTAAGAGGAGTTTGTGGATCAAAGACATTTATCCTAGAATAAAAATGTATTCGTCATCATTGCAGATACGTTCTCAACCCAGAGAACTAAGAAGAAATGCTTCGTTACTAGTAAAAGTGTCATCTCAGAGAACCAAGTGGAGTATATATAGTTTTATTACTTTGGCAACGCTTAGTCTTTCGAGCTGGATCATGTCAACTTTAAGTCATGCGGTTAAACAAAGATGTTACGGTGTGCGTGATTAAGCAAAATTTATTATCTTATTAATCGATTGACTTCGTGTATCAATAGTTTAGGTATGTGATATGAAATCTTTTCATTAAGAACCTTTCCGTCATATTATATACATATACTTCTTCTAATATAGTTATTTAACTTCACATGGTGGTTCAGCGAACTCCTAAAAATGAAAGAACATTTTATGCACTGTTAAATGCTGTTTTCTTCTTCATAATATTTTTAAGGCTTAATATAATGTTATCGACAACCGATGGGGGCGAAATGTTTTTGAATGACAGTCTTGTACATGTAAGCCACGGTAACTCATGCAGAAAGTTGACGAATTCTGGTTGCTCAGGACCGTGGTTTGAGGTATTCTTTGGGGTAGGCCTATGTTTAGTAGTGGACTTATGAAGCACCGTAATGAAGATGATGATTATGATTATATTCTCCAACCTAATTTTTGACATGAAATACCTGGTAAAATATTGATACTTGTGATACTTAGTATTGTACGAATATTTTTATACCATATTTCTTGTGAATCAATTTACTTATATCTGTCATTATTATTTTTAATTACGGACTACAAAACTGTAGCTGTGAGTTTGATCCGCTATTTCATTATTTTTATGGACTACTTTTAGCACAAGAATTTTAAGCTTAGAATGGTTTCATTAGAGTAAGTTTTAAAATTTGGATGTAATCTATTTAAAAAAAAATATACTGAAAATTATAGTTGTCCAAAAATCTCGGTGATCTTTATACTTGCTAGTTTATAAATTAATTATTTAAAAAATAAAAGTGCTTATTTAGTTAAAATTTACTTTTTTAAAAACAAATTTTGATCACGACGCTTACAACTCACCAATTATGGCACACCCTGCTTGATTAATTACAGACATAGCTGGTCTGTACACGCTTCCACTTCTTGACGGAGGTATTAAAATTCTACTGAAGCAAACGTTTAAGATAAAACTGAAGCTTGCTTCAGATTTATCGCCTAGATATCAACAATTAACACAGGAGTAAATAACATCTACAGATCAAAATAAAGCCGGTAGATAACGTTATTGTGAGAACGCATCTGTCGTATACGTATGTACATTTAACAATATATGTAGAGCTATTTTACTACCACATAATGATAGACACCGTACTTTATTATTTTTATAATATTTGTCCATCTTTTTTATAGTCAGCCCGTAAAATTCCACTGCTGGACATGGGCCTCTCTGCTATTCTAAGGAAGATTTATCCCCGGCAGGCGTATTGACGATCGTAGTACAATGCGAAGCAAATAGTCTTATGACACTGCTTCTCGTTTTTACGCCAAGCGTTAACAAGACGGATATACGGTTATCCATCGGAAGACATCTCCTGTTTACTATTTGTTTTTTAGAATGGTTGTAATCTTATTTTTGATTTTTCTTAAAGCTACTACTGTCTGTACTATTTTAATTTTTGTAAGACCTAAATAGATCTTAAAAACAAATCTTTGTTTAAAATTAACCACAAAAAGTTTCTGTAATATATTGCTAATCAAACAGAAAATGTTACACCACAAGAAATTATGTTAGTTGGAGTTCATGTTCTACCTTTTTGGACTGACGAGCCCGAGATATGATTTGTGCAAGTAGAATGTCAGTTCGCAATATCAGGAATTACCGGCGATGCAATCAAATTTCGTTATGTTATATGGCAACTTGTAACTAATCGAAATCAAATATTGGAAATAGCTACTAAATACTATACATAATTGTATAAATGCCGTATGTCTTGTAAAAAAGAGACTCAAGAATTAGACCTACAAGAGAGTGAAAACGTTCCGCACTTTTTAGAATGCGAAATAAGCTATGCCATACAACAACTAAAAACACTAAAAAGTCCCGGAGAAGACCGAATTACAAATGACATATTAAAAGCAATCAAAGAGCCTCTTACACCTATCTTAACAATTTTGTTCAATCAAATCCTTGCAAAAGAATTGATACCCTCTGACTGGCAAATGGCTATAATTACTCTTCTATACAAAAAAGGAGATCCATCAGATATGGGCAATTATAGGCCAATAAGCTTACTTCAGACAATATATAAATTAATCACCAGCTTGTTACTAAAAAGAATTTTAAAAACTTTAGAAGAAAGTCAGCCGAGAGAACAAGCAGGTTTTAGAGCGGGCTTCTCTACAAATGATCACATATTCACTGTTACATAAATCATTGAAAGATATAATGAATACAACAAAAAACTCTACATCGCTTTTGTAGACTATTCAAAGGTATTTGACTCTATATACCATACATACCTATGGCTGACGCTACAAGAACAAGGAGTACATATTAAATATATCAAAATCCTGAAAGAGATATACAAACAGAGCAAGACTGTGGTTAAATTAGAGAGAAAAGGAACACCATTTAATATTCAGAAAGGAGTGAGACAAGGGGATCCTATCTCACCGTATTTATTTAACGCAATTTTAGAACATGTATTTCAACAACTCAATTAGCATAATATTGGAATAAATATAAATGGCGAATATTTAAGCCACCTACGATTCACTGACGACGTTATTCTTATCAGTGAAAGTCATGATGAACTAGAATACATGCTGATATCTCTAGATATAATGTCGAAAGTGCGGACTCAATATGAATACTGAAAAAACGAGACTCCTAACTAACAGCGTTAGAGTGCCTACGAAGGTTCGAAATATATTGTTAGAGTATGTAGACAGCTATGTCTACCTTGGGCAGAACATTTGTTTTTCAAACCAAACAGAGAATGAAGTCGACCGCTGAATAAAAAGTGCTTGGAGAAAATACTGGTCACTAAAAGAAATATTTAAGTCTCCTATACCGACGCGACTAAAAAAGAAGGCAATAGATACTATTTTTCTACCAACACTACTCTATGGCTGTCAAAGCTGGGCACTAACAAAAACAATAATAAACAAGCTTCAGGTCTTTCAGCGTGCAACAGAGAGGAACATGTTAGGTCTTAAATTACGAGATAGACAAAAAATAAAGAAATAAAAAAAACCACAAAAGTTATAGATGCTGCAGATTTATACGTAGCATGTAAATTAAAATGGAGATGGGCAGGCCAAGTTGCAAGAGCCACAGATGGACGTTGGATTGAGAGAGTCCTCCAATGGTACCCTCGCGAAGTGCCACGGGCACGCGGTAGACCCAGGCGTAGGTGGTGTGATGACATTGTGGCCACAGCTGGACACACCTGGATGAGACTCGCACAAGATAAACAAAAATGGCAAAAGATGGAGGAGGCCTTCACCCGCAAATGGGTACCCAAATAAATAATATATAATATCAAATCCTAAGAAAAAGTAAAAATTTTAATACTATGTTATCATGACCAATCTGCTGTAAATTGATCTTCATAATATGTTATAATTAACCACTACATATCTTATTATTAGTATTTGATTTCAATTGTTTGATTATGTATTTTCTTTTATTATTTCATATTTGATAATTTAAAAAATGTGGTTAATTGTTATTTGCTTTTAAAAATTAAAAAAAAAATCTAAATGTTTGTTAAAACTTTCTTTGAAGCATGATTGGTTTTGTAAATGTAAATGAAATTTTGTAATATATTTAATTTTATGTAATTTTTTTTGGGAAATAAAGGCTTAAATAATAATAATAATAATATAATAATATATATAATAATAATAATAATCCAACTTGTTTGGTTCCCTGGGGGCCTGGGGCTTTTATTTATTTATGTACTTTTATATTTATTTTATGTTATTGATATTTATGTATATTTATCTTTTCATTTTCATTTATAATTATATATTTATGGAACCCAACCAGATGAGAAAACTATATAGATACCCCATAATAATAATAATAATAATAATAATATGGCGTAGGGAAGTGACGACCCCATCGCCCGCTGACGTAACGGTTATGTGACAAAACCGCTACGTCCGCGCAGTCAGTCAGCACCTTGCCAAGAGGTGTGAGCGCCGTGCCTCGGCAAAAATTGATGGTGCAAGGGCCCGCTTGTGCATATGGCCTAACCATGAAACGGCGCCGGGTCTGGGCGTCTCCCGTTAAATGGCGCCCTGTATGGATGATGGAACATAGAAGAATGCGCAAAGGGCCGCTGCCTGGAGGTCGTCGGGGCGCGTCTGGCGCTGGCGCTGGACGCGACAGCATGTTGATCGACAGCCGAGCGCGAGGTAATGCACGACCACCCAGGAGCCACTAGCATCCATCATCCCCACCAGCTTACTTGGTGTCGGCAGGGTCTTCGCAGGCCCAGCAATCGGCACCCGCCGCTGGTGGAGTACGCCGCATGCGATGGACCATCAATATGAATTCAAACGCATTGCGGGCGTATTTTAGGGCGAAAGGGGGAGAAATTGGAGGTTTCGCGTATCGGGCTAGGATGCATCGTCTTTTTACTGAGCTGGAGCCATCTATTACTGTCACCGAGCAAAACCTGGCAGACCGAGTTCGGTACATCCTACGCTCAAATATATTTGATGGCGCCGAACTCGAACGGCTACGACGTGAGGCTGTTCCCTCATCAAATGAAAACGCTACGGCTGAGGGTGCGGTGCCACAAGTTGCAGAACAACCCGCACACGTGGATGCCGCCGAGAATACCCCAGTTGTGGTTGCCGATTCAAATGATGATGGAACATTCACCCAGGAACTAGAAATAGAGCAAATGAGGAGCACATTGGAAGAGGCGATTATGGAAACGCGCAGTACGCCTCTCGAAAATCGACCGCGACTTCCCCGCATAGCCCTAAGCAAGCGGAATCGGGCTGTCGTGAGGGCTCTTAACCCAATGCTGGTGACCTATTTGGAAGCCAGCCGGGACCTTTGCGAGACGGACTCAATTCTCTTTGGCGCCGCACTGGCAGTCTGCCGTATTATAGGCGCCAAACTTTCCAAGGCTGGACGCGCTACTGGACAAAGTAGTGCTATCCCAGCCTGGAGAACAAGAATCGAGGAACGTATCGCAAAGGCTAGGGCCCTCATCGGCAGACTGATAAGCTTCAGGTCGGGCAATACCAGGCCGAGGATTGTACGCACCGTTAGGATGGCGTTTGCTGGGACAAATGTTAGTTTGTCCCAGCCGGATATCACGCAAAAACTGACGGAGCGCATAGACGACCTGAAGCAAAAAATCGCTGCTTGGGGGAAAGCGAATTCGGCGATATACCGAGAGGTCGAGGCGGTTCAACCAGAATCGTCTCTTCCAGAGTGATCAGAAGAGGCTCTATAAATCATTGGAGCGACCAATGGTAAGTGGAGCGGGCCCAGTACCGAATCAGGCCGACACGGTCGCATTCTGGCGCGGCCTGTGGTCAGAGCCCGTAAACCACAGCGAGGGCCCTTGGACGGAAGTTGTGGCGAGCCAGTGTGCGAGTATTACGCCCATGGACCCCGTCACCATAACGCCGGATGACGTAGCTGAGGCGGTCCGTAGGGCCCCGAACTGGAAAAGTCCGGGACTCGACGGGCTGCATCACTACTGGCTGAAGGGGTTCGTGGTGTGTCACGCTGTGCTCGCCCGACAGTTTCAAGAGGTTCTCAACCAGAAGTCGCTCCCGAGCCTCTTCACTACTGGGATCACCCATTTGGTTCCTAAAGGCCAGGGTACCACAGACCCGAGCAAATACCGCCCCATCACGTGTCTACCCACCATATATAAGACACTAACATCCATTTTGAGCGCGAGAATCACTCGTCACCTGGACTCAAATCAGGTGATGTCGCGCGCTCAAAATGGATGTCGGGGCGGCGGTCGTGGAACCAAGGAACCACTCCTCATTGACGCGGTCATTGGCAAAGTGGTGAAACGCAACCGTCGGAACTTCTCCGCCGCCTGGATAGACTACAGAAAAGCATTCGACTCGGTGCCCCATACATGGCTAAAGAGAGTCCTCGAACTGTACAAGATAGACTGTACAGTTAGAGACTTCCTCGAGCAGTGTATGGGGCAGTGGAGTACGATCCTCTGTCATCTGGGCGAGCGGATGATGGCTGCGGAGAACCACATAAGGATAAGAAGGGGTATCTTCCAGGGCGATTGTCTGAGTCCAATCTGGTTCTGCCTCTCTCTGAACCCTCTCAGTACCTTACTGGAGGGCTCCGGGAGGGGATTTCAGCTACGGAAAGGAGGGACAAAAGTGACCCACCTTTTCTATATGGATGACCTCAAGTTATTCGCCTCCAGTCGCTCCCATCTTATGGAATTGCTAAACATCACTTGTGAATTTAGCAATTCCATTGGAATGGAGCTGGGGACGGATAAGTGTGCGGTCCTCCATGTTGAGAAGGGGTAGGGTTGCTAACTCTGAGGGCATAGACTTATCTATGCCCGTCAACTTAAGGACCCTTTCCGAGGCTGAAACATACCGATACCTGGGTATGTCACAGAACATTGGTATCGATGAGGCTGGTATGAAACAGTCAGTTTGCGACGTGTTTTATGCACGCTTGACCAAAGTGCTTAACAGCCTTTTGTCCGGTGTGAATAAGACACAAGCATATAACGGCTGGGTCATGCCTGTCCTCATGTATACCTTTGGCATACTCAGGTGGACTCAGACTGAACTTAACGCCCTGGATAGAAAAGTCCGCACTACCATGACGTCCCATAGGATGCATCATCCGAGATCGTCGGTAATGAGGCTGTACTTGCCGCGAAAGCATGGTGGGCGTGGCTTCTTGAGCGCGCTCACCATGCATAATCGCGAAGTGTGCAGCCTCCGTAATTACTTCCTGGCGAGATCGGATGATCCATTCTATAATGACGTCATTTCTTGTGATAAAGGACTTACCCCTCTATCCTTAGCCAACGAGCAATGGCAAGACCCGGCAGTGCAGACAATTTCCGACCGGGAGACCGTATGGAAGGAGAAGGAGCTCCACGGGAGGTACTACAAGGCTCTACATGGGCCTTTCGTAGATACAGTAGCCTCTCTCCACTGGCTACGCTTTGGTGACCTCTTCGGGGGAAACCGAGGGTTTTGTCTGTGCAATACAGGATCAGGTTATTAAGACCAACAACTATCGGAGATACATCCTAAAGGATGGCACCGTCGACGTCTGTCGAGCTTGTCGCCATCCCGGTGAGTCACTTAGGCATGTCATCTCCGGTTGTTCGGCGCTTTCTAACTCTGAGTACTTGCACAGGCACAACCTAGTAGCCAGAATTCTACACCAGGAGCTCGCTCTGAAATACGGTCTCGTGGACCGGAAGTTGCCGTATTACAAGTACTTGCCGGAAGCCGTGCTCGAAAATGATCGCGCCAGGCTCTATTGGGACCGGGCCATCATCACAGACAGGACTATTCTTGCGAATAAGCCTGATATTGTGCTGATGGACCGGGCACAGTCAAGGATATTTTTGGTCGACATTACCATTCCGTGTGACGAGAACCTCGTGAAAGCCGAAACAGATAAGCAAACAAAATATCTGGACCTGGCTCACGAGGTGACCGACATGTGGGGTGGTCTGCCGACCGAAATTATTCCTGTAGTCGTCTCTGCGAACGGGCTAATCCCAGTCAGCCTCTCGGGTCATCTGAGGCGGCTGGGACTACGTGGCGGACCGCTCCGGGCTCAAATGCAGAAGGCGGTGCTCCTCGATACCGCCCGCATCGTCCGCCGGTTTCTTTCCCTTTCCCCCCTAACCCTCGGCCGTTTGGTCTCCCCCTGCCGAGGGCTTCCATCTGGTTGGGCTTTTATTTATTTATGTATTTTTATATTTATTTTATTTTATTGATATTTTTGTATATTTATCTTTTCATTTTCGTTTATAATTATATATTTATAGATCCCAACCAGATGAGAAAACTATATAGATACCCCAACAATAATAATAATATAATAAAAAGGCGTAGGGAAGTGACGACCCCATCGCCCGCTGACGAAACGGTTAAGTGACAAAACTGCTACGTCGGTGCAGTCAGTCAGCGCCTTGCCAAGAGGTGTGAGCGCCGTGCCTCGGCAGTACTCAATGGTGCAAAGGCCCGTTTGTGCTTATGGCCGTACAATGATCAAACGGCGCCGGGTCTGGGCGTCTCCCGTTAATTGGCGCCCAAAATGGATGATGGATAAGATTGAAAACGTATAGGGCCGCTGCCTGGGGGTCGCCGGGGCGCGTCTGGAGCTGGCGCTGGACGCGGCAGCATGCGGGCCGCCAGCCGAGCGCGAGGTGCTGCAAGACCACCTAACAGCCCCCGCATCCATCATCCCCACCAGACGGCTTGGTGTCGGCAGGGTCCTCTCGGACTCGGCAAGCGGCACCCGCCGCTGGTGGAGTGCGCCGCATGCGTTGGACAAGGGATATGAACGCAAACGCATTGCGGGCGTACTATAGGGCGAAAGGGGGAGAAACTGCGGGGATCGCGTATCGGGCTCGGATGCATCGCTTTTTTACTGAGCTGGAGCCGTCTATTACTGTCACCGAACAAAACCTGGCAGACCGAGTTCGGTATATCTTACGCTCAAATATATTTGATGGCGCCGAACTCGAACGGCTACGACGTGAGGCTGTTCCCTCATCAAATGAAAACGCTACGACTGAGGGTGCGGTGCCACAAGTTGCAGAACAACCCGCACACGTGGATGCCGCCGAGAATACCCCAGTGGTTGCTGATTCAAATGATGATGGAACATTCACCCAGGAACTAGAAATAGAGCAAATGAGGAGTACATTGGAAGAGGCGATTATGGAAACGCGCAGTACGCCTCTCGAAAATCGACCGCGACTTCCCCGCATAGCCCTAAGCAAGCGGAATCGGGCTGTCGTGAGGGCTCTGAACCCAATGCTGGTGACCTATTTGGAAGCCAGCCGGGACCTTTGCGAGACGGACTCAATTCTCTTTGGCGCCGCACTGGCAGTCTGCCGTATTATAGGCGCCAAACTTTCCACGGCTGGACGCACTACTGGACAAAGTAGTGCTATCCCAGCCTGGAGAACAAGAATTGAAGAACGTATCGCAAGGGCTAGGGCCCTCATCGGCAGACTGATATGCTTCAGGTCAGGCAATACCAGGCCAAGGATTGTGCGCACCGTCAGGATGGCGTTTGCTGGGACAAATGTTAGTTTGTCCCAGCCGGATATAATGCAAAAACTGACGGAGCGCATAGACGACCTGAAGCAGAGAATCGCTGCTTGGGGAAAGCGAATTCGGCGATATACCGAGAGGTCGACACGGTTCAACCAGAATCGTCTCTTCCAGAGTGATCAGAAGAGGCTCTATAAATCATTGGAGCGACCAATGGTAAGTGGAACGGGCCCAGTACCGAATCAGGCCGACACGGTCGCATTCTGGCGCAGCCTGTGGTCAGAGCCCGTAAACCACAACGAGGGCCCTTGGACGGAAGTTGTGGCGAGTCAGTGTGCGGGTATTACGCCCATGGACCCCGTCACCATAACGCCGGATGACGTAGCTGAGGCGGTCCGTAGGGCCCCGAACTGGAAAAGTCCGGGACTCGACGGGCTGCATCACTACTGGCTGAAGGGGTTCGTGGTGTGTCACACTGTGCTCGCCCGACAGTTTCAAGAGGTTCTCAACCAGAAGTCGCTCCCGAGCCTCTTCACTACTGGGATCACCCATTTGGTTCCTAAAGGCCAGGGTACCACAGACCCGAGCAAATACCGCCCCATCACATGTCTACCGATCATATATAAGACACTAACATCCATTTTGAGCGCGAGAATCACTCGTCACCTGGACTCAAATCAGGTGATGTCGCGCGCTTAAAATGGATGTCGGGGCGGCGGTCGTGGAACCAAGGAACCACTCCTCATTGACGCGGTCATTGGCAAAGTGGTGAAACGCAACCGTCGGAACTTCTCCGCCGCCTGGATAGACTACAGAAAGGCATTCGACTCGGTGCCCCATACATGGCTAAAGAGAGTCCTCGAGCTGTACAAGATAGACTGTACAGTTAGAGACTTCCTCGAGCAGTGTATGGGGCAGTGGAGTACGATCCTTTGTCATCTGGGCGAGCGGATGATGGCTGCGGAGAACCACATAAGGATAAGAAGGGGTATCTTCCAGGGCGATTGTCTGAGTCCAATATGGTTCTGCCTCTCTCTGAACCCTCTCAGTACCTTACTGGAGGGCTCCGGGAGGGGATTTCAGCTACGGAAAGGAGGGACAAAAGTGACCCACCTTTTCTATATGGATGACCTCAAGTTATTCGCCTCCAGTCGCTCCCATCTTATGGAACTGCTAAACATCACTTGTGAATTTAGCAATTCCATTGGAATGGAGCTGGGGACGGATAAGTGTGCGGTCCTCCATGTTGAGAGGGGTAGGGTTGCTAACTCTGAGGGCATAGACTTATCTATGCCCGTCAACTTAAGGACCCTTTCCGAGGCTGAAACATACCGATACCTGGGTATGTCACAGAACATTGGTATCGATGAGGCTGGTATGAAACAGTCAGTTTGCGACGTGTTTTATGCACGCTTGACCAAAGTGCTTAACAGCCTTTTGTCCGGTGTGAATAAGACACAAGCATATAACGGCTGGGTCATGCCTGTCCTCATGTATACCTTTGGCATACTCAGGTGGACTCAGACTGAACTTAACGCCCTGGATAGAAAAGTCCGCACTACCATGACGTCCCACAGGATGCATCATCCGAGATCGTCGGTAATGAGGCTGTACTTGCCGCGAAAGCATGGTGGGCGTGGCTTCTTGAGCGCGCTCACCATGCATAATCGCGAAGTGTGCAGCCTCCGTAATTACTTCCTGGCGAGATCGGATGATCCATTCTATAAGGACGTCATTTCTTGTGATAAAGGACTTACCCCTCTATCCTTAGCCAACGAGCAATGGCAAGACCCGGCAGTGCAGACAATTTCCGACCGGGAGACCGTATGGAAGGAGAAGGAGCTCCACGGGAGGTTCTACAAGTCTCTACATGGGCCTTTCGTAGACACAGTAACCTCTCTCCACTGGCTACGCTTTGGTGACCTCTTCGGGGAAACCGAGGGTTTTGTCTGTGCAATACAGGATCAGGTTATTAAGACCAACAACTATCGGAGATACATCCTAAAGGATGGCACCATCGACATCTGTCGAGCTTGTCGCCATCCCGGTGAGTCACTTAGGCATGTCATCTCCGGTTGTTCGGCGCTTTCTAACTCTGAGTACTTGCACAGGCACAACCTAGTAGCCAGAATTCTACACCAGGAGCTCGCTCTGAAATACGGTTTCGTGGATCGGAAGTTGCCGTATTACAAGTACTTGCCGGAAGCCGTGCTCGAAAATGATCGCGCCAGGCTCTATTGGGACCGGGCCATCATCACAGACAGGACTATTCTTGCGAATAAGCCTGATATTGTGCTGATGGACCGGGCACAGTCAAGGATATTTTTGGTCGACATTACCATTCTGTGTGACGAGAACCTCGTGAAAGCCGAAACAGATAAGCAAACAAAATATCTGGACCTGGCTCACGAGGTGACCGACATGTGGGGTGGTCTGCCGACCGAAATTATTCCTGTAGTCGTCTCTGCAAACGGGCTAATCCCAGTCAGCCTCTCGGGTCATCTGAGGCGGCTGGGACTACGTGGCGGACCGCTCCAGGCTCAAATGCAGAAGGCGGTGCTCCTCGATACCGCCCGCATCGTCCGCCGGTTTCTTTCCCTTTCCCCCTAACCCTCGGCCGTTTGGTCTCCCCTGCCGAGGGCTTCCATCTGGTTGGGCTTTTATTTATTTATGTATTTTCATATTTATTTTATTTTATTGATATTTATGTATGTTTATCTTTTCATTTTCATTTATAATTATATATTTATACATCCCAACCAGATGAGAAAACTATATAGATACCCCACACAATAATAATAATAATAAAAAGGCGTAGGGAAGTGACGACCCCATCGCCCGCTGCGAAACAGTTAAGTGACAAAACTGCTACGTCGGTGCAGTCAGTCAGCGCCTTGCCAAGAGGTGTGAGCGCCGTGCCTCGGCAGTACTCAGGGTGCAAAGGCCCGTTTGTGCTTACGGCCGTACAATGATACAATAAAACGGTGCCGGGCCTGGGCGTCTCCCGCTAATTGGCGCCCAAAAATGGATGATGGATAAGATTGGAAAACGTATAGGGCCGCTGCCTGGGGGTCGCCGGGGCGCGTCTGGAGCTGGCGCTGGACGCGGCAGCATGCGGGCCGCCAGCCGAGCGCGAGGAGCTGCAAGATCACCTAACAGCCCCCCGCATCCATCATCCCCACCAGACGGCTTGATGTCGGCAGGGTCCTCTCGGACTCGGCAAGCGGCATCCGCCGCTGGTGGAGTGCGCCGCATGCGTTGGACAAGGGATATGAACGCAAACGCATTGCGGGCGTACTATAGGGCGAAAGGGGAAGAAACTGCGGGGATAGCGTATCGGGCTCGGATGCATTGCTTTTTTGCTGAGCTGGAGCCGTCTATTCCCGTCACGGAACAAAACCTGGCAGACCGAGTTCGGTACATCATGCGCTCGAAAATATTCGATGATGCCGAGCTCGAACGACTACGACGTGAGGCCATTCCCTCATCGAATGAATTGGCTACGGCTGGGGATGAGGCTCCTCAGGCGACAGACCAGCTGCCACGCGTAGAAGCCGCCATGGATCTTCCAGTTGTGGGTGATTCAGACGATGATGAAATGGACTCCCACGAACTAGAGCAAATGAGGAGTATATTGGAAGAGGCGATTTTAGAAACGCGCAGCATGCCTCTCGAAAATCGACCGCGACTTCCCCGCATACCCCTAAGCAAGCGAAATCGGGCTGTCGTGAGGGCTCTTAACCCAATGCTGGTAACCTATTTGGAAGCCAGCCGGGACCTTTGCGAGACGGACTCAGTTCTTTTTGGCGCCGCAGTGGCAGCTTGCCGTATTATTGGCGCCAAATTTCCCATGGCTGGACGCGCTACTAAACAAAGTAGCGCCATCCCAGCCTGGAGAAAAAGAATTGAGGACCGTATCGCAAAGGCAAGGGCCCTTATCGGCAGACTGATAAGCTTCAGGTCGGGTAATAATAGACCGAGGGTTGTGCGCACCGTTAGTATGGCGTTTGCTGGGACAAATATCAGTTTGTCCCAGCCGGATATCACGCAGAAACTAACGGAGCGCATAGACGACCTGAAGCAAAAGATTGCTGCTTGGGGGAAGCGGATTCGCCGATTTACCGAGAGTTCAAGGCGGTTCAACCAGAATCGTCTCTTCCAGAGTGATCAGAAGAGGCTCTACAAATCATTGGAGCGACCAGAGGTATGTGGAGCGGGCCCAGGACCGGATCAGGCTAACACTGTCGCATTTTGGCGTGGCCTGTGGTCAGAGCCCGTAAACCACAGCGAGGGCCCTTGGACGGAAGTTGTGGCGAGTCAGTGTGCGAGTATTACGCCCATGGACCCCGTCATCATAACGCCGGATGACGTAGCTGAGGCGGTCCGTAGAGCCCCGAACTGGAAAAGTCCGGGACTCGACGGACTGCATCACTACTGGCTGAAGGGGTTCATGGTGTGTCACGCTGTGCTCGCCCGTCAGTTTCAAGAGGCTCTCAACCAGAAGTCGCTCCCTAGCCTCTTCACTACTGGGATCACTCATTTGGTTCCTAAAGACCAGGTTACCACAGACCCGAGCAAATACCGCCCCATTACGTGTCTACCCACCATATATAAGACACTGACATCCATTTTGAGCGCGAGAATCACTCGTCACCTGGAGCTAAATCAGGTGATGTCACGCGCTCAAAATGGATGTCGGGGCGGTGGTCGTGGAACTAAGGAACCACTCCTCATTGACGCGGTCATTGGCAAAGTGGTGAAACGCAACCGTCGGAACTTCTCCGCCGCCTGGATAGACTACAGAAAGGCATTCGACTCGGTGCCCCATACATGGCTAAAGAGAGTCCTCGAGCTGTACAAGATAGACTGTACAGTGAGAGACTTCCTCGAGCAGTGTATGGGGCAGTGGAGTACGATCCTTTGTCATCTGGGTGAGCGGATGATGGCTGCGGAGAACCACATAAGGATAAGAAGGGGTATCTTCCGAGGGCTATCGTCTGAGTCCAATCTGGTTCTGCCTCTCCCTGAACCCTCTCAGTACCTTACTGGAGGGATCCGGGAGAGGATTTCAGCTACGGAAAGGAGGGACAAAAGTGACCCACCTTTTCTATATGGATGACCTTAAGTTATTCGCCTCCAGTCGCTCCCATCTTGTGGAATTGCTAAAAATCACTTGTGAGTTTAGCAGTTCCATTGGAATGGAGCTGGGGACGGATAAGTGTGCGGTCCTCCATGTTGAGAGGGGAAGGGTTGCTAACTCTGAGGGCATAGATTTATCTATGCCCGTCAACTTAAGGACCCTTTCCGAGGCTGAAACATACCGATACCTGGGTATGTCACAGAACATCGGTATCGATGAGGCTGGTGTGAAACAGTCAGTTTGCGACGTGTTTTATGCACGCTTGACCAAAGTGCTTAATAGCCTTTTGTCCGGTGTGAATAAGACACACGCATATAACGGTTGGGTCATGCCTGTCCTTATGTATACCTTTGGCATACTCAGGTGGACTCAGACTGAACTTAACGCCCTGGATAGAAAAGTCCGCACTACCATGACGTCCCATAGGATGCATCATCCGAGATCGTCGGTAATGAGGCTGTACTTGCCGCGAAAGCATGGTGGGCGTGGCTTTCTAAGCGCGCTCACTATGCATAATCGTGAAGTGTGCAGCCTCCGTCATTACTTCCTGGCGAGATCGGATGATCCATTCTATAATGACGTCATTTCTAGTGATAAAGGGCTTACCCCTCTATCCTTGGCCAACGAGCAATGGCAGGACCCAGCAGTGCTTAGCATTTCCGACCGGGAGACCGTATGGAAGGAGAAGGAGCTCCACGGGAGGTACTACAGGGTTCTACATGAGCCCTTCGTAGATACAGTCGCCTCCCTCAACTGGCTACGTTTCGGTGACCTCTTCGGGGAAACCGAGGGTTTTGTCTGTGCAATACAGGATCAGGTTATTAAGACCAACAACTATCGGAGATACATCCTAAAGGATGGCACCGTCGACGTCTGTCGAGCTTGTCGCCATCTCGGGGAGTCACTTAGGCATGTCATCTCCGGTTGTTCGGCGCTTTCTAACTCTGAGTACTTGCACAGGCACAACCTAGTAGCCAGAATTCTACACCAGGCGCTCGCTCTGAAATACGGTCTCGTGGACCGGAAATTGCCGTATTACAAGTACTTGCCGGAAGCCGTGCTCGAAAATGACCGCGCCAGGCTCTACTGGGACCGGGCCATCATCACAGACAGGACTATTCTTGCAATAAAGCCTGATATTGTGCTGATGGACCGGGCACAGTCAAGGATATTTTTGGTCGACATTACCATTCCGTATGACGAGAACCTCGTGAAAGCCGAAACAGATAAGCAAACAAAATATCTGGACCTGGCTCACGTGGTGACCGACATGTGGGGCGGTCTGCCGACCGAAATTATTCCTGTAGTCGTCTCTGCAAACGGGCTAATCCCAGTCAGCCTCTCGGGTCATCTGAGGCGACAGGGACTCCGTGACGGACCGCTCCGGGCTCAAATGCAGAAGGCAGTGGTCCTCGATACCGCCCGCATCGTCCGTCGGTTTCTTTCCCTTTCCCCCTAACCCTCGGCCGTTTGGTCTCCCCTGCCGAGGGCTTCCATCTGGTTGGATCTTTATTTATTTGTGTATTTTTTGTATTTATTTTATTTTATTGATATTTATGTATATTTATCTTTTCATTTTAATTTATAATTATATATTTATAGAAACCAACCAGATGAGAAAACTATACAGATACCCCACAATAATAATAAATTCTTGCGAATAACCCTGATATTGTGCTGAGGACCGGGCACAGTCAAGGATATTTTGGTCGACATTACCATTCCTATGACGAGAACCTCGTGAAAGCCGAAACAGACAAGCAAACAAAATATCTGGACCTGGCTCACGAGGTGACCGACATGTGGGGCGGTCTGCCGACCAAAATTATTCCTGTAGTCGTCTCTGCAAACGGGCTAATCCCAGTCAGCCTCTCGGGTCATCTGAGGCGGCTGGGACTACGTGGCGGACCGCTCCGGGTTCAAATGCAGAGGGCGGTGTTCCTCGATACCGCCCGCATCGTCCGCCGGTTTCTTTCCCTTTCCCCCTAACCCTCGGCCGTTTGGTCTCCCCTGCCGAGGGCTTCCATCTGGTTGGGCTTTTATTTATTTATGTATTTTTTTATTTATTTTATTTTATTGATATTTATGTATATTTATCTTTTATTTATAATTATATATATAGAACCCAACCAGATGAGAAAACTATATATATACCCCACAAAATAATAATAATAAGGCGTAGGGAAGTGACGACCCCATCGCCCGCTGACGTAACGGTTATGTGACAAAACCGGTACGTCAGCGCAGTCAGTCAGCACCTTGCCGAGAGGTGTTAGTGCCGTGCCTCGGCAAAAATTGAAGGTGCAAAGGCCCGCTTGTGCACATGGCCTCACCATGAAACGGTGCCGGGTCTGGGCGTCTCCCGATAAATGACGCCCACCACTATGGATGATGGAATACGGAAGAACGCGCAAAGGGCCGCTGCCTGGAGGTCGCCAGGGCGCGTCTGGAGCTGGCGCTTGACGCGACAGCATGCGAACCACCAGCCGAGCGCGAGGTGCTGCACGACCACCCAGCAGCCCCTTGCATCCATCATCCTCACCAGCTGGTTTGGTGTCGGCAGGGTCTTCGCGGGCCCAGCAATCGGCACCCGCCACTGGTGGAGTACGCCGCATGCGTTGGACAACCCAGATGAACAGCAACGCATTGCGGGCGTATTTTAGGGCGAAAGGTGGAGAAACTGTAAGTTTTGCGTATCGGGCAAGGATACATCGACTTTTTGCTGAGCTGGAGCCATCTGTAACCCTCACCGAGCAAAATCTGGCAGACCGAGTTCGGTATATCTTGCGCTCATATACATTTGATGTCGCTGAACTTGAACGGCTACGACGCGAGGATGTTCCTTCATCGGGTGAAAATGCTGCGGCTGAGGATGCGGCGCCACAACTCGCTGAGCAAACCGCAAATGTGGATGCCGCCGTGAATACGCCAGTTGTGGTTGATTCAAACGATGACGGAACAGTCGCCCAGGAACTGAAACTAGAGCAAATGAGGAGTAAATTGGAGGAGGCGATTGTGGAAACGCGCAGTACGCCTCTCGAAAATCGACCGCGACTTCCCCGCTTAGCCCTAAGCAAGCGGAAACGGGCTGTCGTGAGGGCTCTGAACCCAATGCTGGTTACCTACTTGGAAGCCAGACGGGACCTTTGCGAGACGGACTCAATTCTTTTTGGCGCCGCACTGGCAGTCTGCCGTATTATAGGCGTCAAACTTTCCACGGCTGGACGCGCTACTGGACAAAGTAGTGCTATCCCAGCCTGGAGAATAAGAATTGAAGAACGTATCGCAAGGACTAGGGCCCTCATCGGCAGACTGATATGCTTCAGGTCAGGCAATACCAGTCCAAGAATTGTGCGCACCGTCAGGATGGCGTTTGCTGGGACAAATGTTAGTTTGTCCCAGCCAGATATAACGCAAAAACTGACGGAGCGCATAGACGACCTGAAGCAAAGAATCGCTGCTTGGGGAAAGCGGATTCGGCGATATACCGAGAGGTCGACACGGTTCAACCAGAATCGTCTCTTCCAGAGTGATCAGAAGAGGCTCTACAAATCATTGGAGCGACCAATAATAAGTGGAACGGGCCCAGCACCAAATCAGGCGGACACGGTCGCATTCTGGCGCAGCCTGTGGTCAGAGCCCGTAAACCACAACGAGGGCCTTTGGACGGAAGTTGTGGCGAGTCAGTGTGCGGGTATTACGCCCATGGACCCCGTCGTCATAACGCCGGATGACGTAGCTGAGGCGGTCCGTAGGGCCCCGAACTGGAAAAGTCCGGGGCTTGACGGGCTGCATCACTACTGGCTGAAGGGGTTCATGGTGTGTCACGCTGTGCTCGCCCGACAGTTTCAAGAGGCTCTCAACCAGAAGTCGCTCCCAAGCCTCTTCACTACTGCGATCACTCATTTGGTTCATAAAGATCAGGGTGCCACAGACCCGAGCAAATACCACCCCATCACGTGTCTACTGACTATATACAAGACACTAACATCCATTTTGAGCGCGAGAATCGCTCGTCACCTGGACTCAAATCAGGTGATGTCGCGCGCTCAAAATGGATGTCGGGGCGGCGGTCGTGGAACCAAGGAACCACTCCTCATTGACGCGGTCATTGGCAAAGTGGTGAAACGCAACCGTCGGAACTTCTCCGCCGCCTGGATAGACTACAGAAAGGCATTCGACTCGGTGCCCCATACATGGCTAGGAGAGTCCTCGAGCTGTACAAGATAGACTGTACAGTTAGAGACTTCCTCGGGCAGTGTATGGGGCAGTGGAGTACGATCCTTTGTCATCTGGGCGAGCGGATGATGGCTGCGGAGAACCGCATAAGGATAAGAAGGGGTATCTTTCAGGGCGATTGTCTGAGTCCAATCTGGTTCTGCCTCTCTCTGCACCCTCTCAGTACCTTACTGGAGGGCTCCGGGAGGGGATTTCAGCTACGGAAAGGAGGTACAAAAGTGACCCACCTTTTCTATATGGATGACCTCAAGTTATTCGCCTCCAGTCGCTCCCATCTTATGGAATTGCTAAACATCACTTGTGAATTTAGCAATTCCATTGGAATTGAGCTGGGGACGGATAAGTGTGCGGTCCTCCATGTTGAAAGGGGAAGGGTTGCTAACTCTGAGAGCGTAGACTTATCTATGCCCGTCAACTTAAGGACCCTTTCCGATGCTGAAACATACCGATACATGGGTATGTCACAAAACATCGGTATCGATGAGACTGGTATGAAACAGTCAGTTTGCGACGTGTTTTATGCACGCTTGACCAAAGTGCTTAACAGCCTTTTGTCCGGTGTGAATAAGGCACACGCATATAACGGCTGGGTCATGCCTGTCCTCATGTATACCTTTGGCATACTCAGGTGGACTCAGACTGAACTTAACGCCCTGGATAGAAAAGTCTGCACTACAATGACGTCCCATAGGATGCATCATCCGAGATCGTCGGTAATGAGGCTGTACTTGCCGCGGAAGCATGGTGGTCGTGGCTTCTTGAGCGCGCTCACCATGCATAATCGCGAAGTGTGCAGCCTCCGTGATTACTTCCTGGCGAGATCGGATGATCCATTCTATAAGGACGTCATTTCTTGTGATAAAGGACTTACCCCTCTATCCTTAGCCAACGAGCAATGGCAAGACCCGGCAGTGCAGAGCATTTCTGACCGGGAGACCGTATGGAAAGAGAAGGAGCTCCACGGGAGGTTCTACAAGGCTCTACATGAGCCTTTCGTAGACACAGTAGCCTCCCTCCACTGGCTACGCTTTGGTGATCTCTTCGGGAAAACCGAGGGTTTTGTCTGTGCAATACAGGATCAGGTTATTAAGACCAACAACTATCGGAGATACATCCTAAATGATGGCACCGTCGACATCTGTCGAGCTTGTCGCCATCCCGGTGAGTCACTTAGGCATGTTATCTCCGGTTGTTCGGCGCTTTCTAACTCTGAGTACTTGCACAGGCACAACCTAGTAGCCAGAATTCTACACCAGGAGCTCGCTCTGAAATACGGTCTCGTGGATCGGAAATTGCCGTATTACAAGTACTTGCCGGAAGCCGTGCTCGAAAATGATCGCGCCAGGCTCTATTGGGACCGGGCCATCATCACAGACAGGACTATTCTTGCGAATAAGCCTGATATTGTGCTGATGGACCGGGCACAGTCAAGGATATTGTTACGCGCTCCAATGCCTCAAATCGGCCCACTAGCGCCATCTAGTCTCGAACCGAAGAACTAAACTTCTTGGAGTTTAAAACTCGAACTCTCGGTACCTTGCGCGTGTTTACTTGAACATTCTGGATATTTTGCTAATTTATATAAGTAGGCACTGCAAGATGCGATCGAAGTAGACTTGAACTCGGCGACACAAGCGAAGCTTCGGAGCGGAATTAAGTGAATTAGTGTGTTTAATCATTAGTGTTTTAAGTTTTAATTTGTGTAAAGTAAATTAAAGTGTTAATTTAGGTAATTTTATCGGCAATTTTTATAGTCACGAACCCTAAGCTCGTAATAAATGGTGTCAGAAGTGGGATAAAATAATGCCGATTTTACCTAAGGAGAAAACGGATGGTGTCCGTACCCGCAGTCAACGCCAGCATGAGACGGACCAGAGGAGATTTGGTGGTGCAACGCCGCAGACGTCGGAGGGCCAACTGCCAGCCACGGAGGCTGCGGGCCCGTCAGTAGCTCCTACACCTGCAGCACCTGACTTAGGTGCTCTGATGGCGATGCTACAGGAGCAGCTGCAGCGCGGACGAGAGGAACAGGCCCGTCTGTTGAAAGAGCAGCAGGAGGAACAGGCTCGCCGACAGGAGGAACAGGCTCGCCGACAGGAGGAACAGGCTCGCCGACAGGAGGAACAGGCTCGCCGACAGGAGGAACAGGCCCGTCGGTTGGAAGAGCAGCTGCGGGGCGGCCAGGAAGAACAGATGCTTCTCATGAAGGAACTTCTTTTCAAGAATTGATGACACGCTGGACATGCTTACAGGAGTAAAGTGGTTTAGCACGCTGGATCTAAAAAGTGGTTACTGGCAAGTTGAAATTGTTCCTAAGGACAAGGAAAAAACTGCGTTCTCGACGGGAAAGGGTCTGTGGCAATTTAAAGTAGTGCCGTTTGGGTTGTACAATGCTCCAGCAACGTTTTAAAGGCTGATGGAACTTGTACTTACCGGGCTAATTGGCGATGCCTGTCTGGTCTACTTGGATGACATCATCATCATAGGCCGTAGGTTTGAGGAACACCTTCAAAACCTGGAACGCGTGCTCATGAAGATTCAGAGTGCCAACCTCAAGTTGAGCCCGAAGAAATATTCACTATTCAAACGGCAAGTTAACTTTTTTGGGGTTTGTAGTATCGGAAGAAGGTATCCGCACAGATCCAGAGAAAATCGCCGCTGTCAAGGATTGGCCGGTTCCAAAAGACAAGACGCAGGTTAGAGCATTTTTGGGTTTGTGCTCCTATTACCGGCGATTTGTGAAGAACTTTGCAGATATAGCCAAACCTCTGCACAAGCTAACCGAGGAGAAGCGACATTTCTGCTGGGATGAAAGTTGCAATATCGCATTCCAGGAGCTCAAGGATCGTCTGTGCAAAACACCTATTTTGGGATACCCTGATGCAAGAAAAGAATTTATAGTTGACACAGACGCAAGTGATATAGGACTTGGCGGTGTGTTGTCTCAACGGAATGGTGACCAAGAGGTCGTGATAGCGTACTTCAGCAAGTCGTTGTCAAAACCGGAAAGGAACTACTGTGTCACAAGACGCGAATTGCTAGCTGTGGTAAAGTCGTTGCAGCATTTTAGCAAATATCTTCTGGGGCGAAAATTTCACTTACGAACTGACCATGCTGCACTTAAATGGCTATTGCAGTTTAAAAATCCAGAAGGACAAGTTGCGAGATGGATTGAACTACTGCAGAAATACGACTTCGAGATCGAACATCGCAACGGGAAATCTCATGGCAACGCAGATGCATTGTCAAGAAGACCTTGTCCTGAAGATTGCAAACATTGTACTAGGCAAGAGAGTAAGGAAGTGGTATCCGTGAGGATGCTCAGGGCAGACCACCTCAGCAACGAGTGGAAGGACAGCTTACAACGTGCACAGCAGGAAGATCCGGACATCAAGCCGAACCTGGAATGGATGAAGGCCAGTGCTCCCAAGCCCAAGTGGAGCGACGTCTCAGCGATGAGTTCGACCACTAAAAGCTATTGGGCCCAGTGGGACAGCTTGCTGCTTCAGGATGGAGTTCTGTGCCGTAAATGGGAAAATGTTCGGGTAGACAGCTGTCATTTGCAAACGGTTGTCCCTAAAGCTAAAGTACCGGATGTTCTACAGCTGTACCATAATGATTATTCAGGAGGCCATCTGGGAGTTAAACGAACTCTACTGAAGATCCGAGAACGGTTTTACTGGGTCCACTGTCGAAACGATGTCGAGGACTGGTGTCGCAAATGTACAAGTTGTGCGGCTGTAAAGGGACCTCAGACTCGTAGTAGAGGTGCATTGAAGTTGTACAATGTTGGTGCACCATGGGAGAGAATACCATTGACGTGGCGGGGCCGTTTCCGGAGAGTGAAAGCGGTAACAGGTATTTCATGGTTGTGATGGATTACTTCACTAAGTGGCCAGAAGTCTTCGCCATTCCAAATCAAGAAGCTTCAACAGTTGCTGATAAGCTAGTTCATGAAGTCTTCTGTCGTTTTGGTGTACCTTTAGAGATTCACAGCGATCAAGGAAGGAATTTTGAGTCTCAAATATTCCAGGAAACTTGCCGAGTTATGGGTACTCATAAAACAAGAACGACTTCTTATCACCCGCAATCTGATGGAATGGTAGAACGATTTAATCAGACATTGGAGAGGTACCTAGAAAAAGTTGTAGACAATCGGCAACGAGATTGGGACAAGCACATACAACCGTTTTTGTTGTCATATCGAAGCGCTGTTCACGAAAGTACAGCAGTGACACCAGCTTTCGCAAACTTTGGAAGAGAATTACGGCTGCCTGCAGACCTGATCACCGGGATACCACCTGATGCTCCACGCAGTATAACCGATTATGCAAATGACTTGCGGAACAAAATGAATGACGTTTATGAGCACGTCAGACAATCGGGCCAGCAAATGTCTGAAAAGATGAAAACCCGGTATGACCGCAAAATGAACAACAAAGGGTTCGACGAAGGTTCACTTGTGTGGTTGCACAATCCAGTCCGCAGCAAAGGGAAATCTCCTAAGCTTCAAGCTAAATGGGACGGCCCGTACCGGATTGTGACCAGGATCAACGATGTAACCTACCGGATACAGAAAGGCGCAAGAGGGACTCCTAAGATCGTCCATGTGGATCGCCTAGCGCGTTATTATGGGACCGATAATGCTCGGGACGAGCATGTCTTAGGAGGGGGCAGTGTTACGCGCTCCAATGCCTCAAATCGGCGCACTAGCGCCATCTAGTCTCGAACCGAAGAACTAAACTTCTTGAAGTTTAAAACTCGAACTCTCGGTACCTTGCGCGTGTTTACTTGAACATTCTGGATATTTTGCTAATTTATATAAGTAGGCGCTGCAAGATGCGATCGAAGTAGACTTGAACTCGGTGACACAAGCGAAGCTTCGGAGCGGAATTAAGTGAATTAGTGTGTTTAATCGTTAGTGTTTTAAGTTTTAATTTGTTTAAAGTAAATTAAAGTGTTAATTTAGGTAATTTTATCGGCAATTTTTATTGTCACGAACACTAAGCTCGTAACAATATTTTTGGTCGACATTACCATTCCGTATGACGAGAACCTCGTGAAAGCCGAAACAGACAAGCAAACAAAATATCTGGACCTGGCTCACGAGGTGACCGACATGTGGGGTGGTCTGCCGAACGAAATTATTCCTGTAGTCGTCTCTGCAAACGGGCTAATCCCAGTCAGCCTCTCGGGTCATCTGAGGCGGCTGGGACTACGTGGCGGACCGCTCCAGGTTCAAATGCAGAAGGCGGTGCTCCTCGATACCGCCCGCATCTTCCGCCGGTTTCTTTCCCTTTCCCCCTAACCCTCGGCCGTTTGGTCTCCCCCTGCCGAGGGCCTCCATCTGGTTGGGCTTTTATTTATTTATGTACTTTTATATTTATTTTATGTTATTGATATTTATGTATATTCATCTTTTCATTTTCATTTATAATTATATATTTATAGCACCCAACCAGATGAGAAAACTATATAGATACCCCACAATAATAATAATAATTAATGGCGTAGGGAATTGACGACCCCATCGCCCGCTGACGTAACAGTTAAGTGGCAAAACTGCTACGTCAACGCAGTCAGTCAGCGCCTTGCGAGAGGTGTGAGCGCCGTGCCTCGGCAGAATTCAGGGTGCAGAGGCCCGTTTGTGCTTTTGGCCGTCCACGATACGGTGCTGGGCCTGGGCGTCTCCCGTTAATGGACGCCCATAATATGGATGATGGAGAAAAAGATAGTGCGCAAAGGGCCGCTGCCTGGAGGTCGCCTGGACGCGTCTGGAGCTGGCGCTGGACGCGACAGCATGCGGGCCGCCACCCGAGCGCGGGGTGTTGCAAGACCACCTAGCAGCCCCCCGCATCCATCATCCCCACCAGAAGACTTGGTGTCGGCTGGGTCTTCTCGGACTCAGCAAGCGGCACCCGCCGCTGGTGGAGCACGTCGCATGCGTTGGTCTAAATCAATGAATGAAAACGCACTGCGGGCGTATTTTACGGCAAAAGGGGAAGAAACTGGATGTTTGGCGTATCGGGCTCGGACGCATCGCTTTTTTGCAGAGCTGGAGCCATCTCTATCCGTCACTGAGCAAAACCTGGCAGACCGAGTTAGGTACATCCTGCGCTCCAACATATTTGGTGACGCCTAACTCGAGCGACTACGACGTGAGGCTATTCCTTCATCGAATGGAAATGCTACGGCTGGGAATGCGGCGCCACTAGATGCGCAACAAACTGCATATGTGGATGCTGCCGTCAACATTCCATTTGTGGCTAATTCAGACGATGATGGAATAGTCTCCCACGAACTAGAGAAAATGAGGAGCACATTGAAAGAGTCGATGCTGGAAACGCGCAGTATGCCTCTAGAAAATCGACCGCGACTTCCTCGCATACCCCTTAGCAAGCGAAATCGGGCTGTCGTGCGGGCTCTTAACCCAATGCTGGTGACCTTTGCGAGACGGATTCAATTCTTTTTGGCGCCGCACTAGCAGTATGCCGTATTATTGGCGCCAAATTTCCCGTGGCTGGACGTGCTACTCAAAAAAGTAGCGCCATCCCAGCCTGGAGAAAACGAATTGAGGACCGTATCGCAAAGGCAAGGGCCCTTATCGGCAGACTGACAAGCTTCAGGTCGGGTAATAATAGACCGCGGATTATGCGCACCGTTAGGATGGCGTTTGCTGGGACAAATATCAGTTCGTTCCAGCCGGATATCACGCAAAAACTAACGGAGCGCATAGATGACCTGAAGCAAAAAATCGCTGCTTGGGGGAAGCGGATTCGACGATTTAGCGAGACGTCAAGGCGGTTCAACCAGAATCGTCTCTTCCAGAGTGATCAGAAGAGGCTCTATAAATCATTGGAGCGACCAGAGGTATGTGGAGCGTGTCCAGGACTGGATCAGGCTGACACTGTCGCATTTTGGCGTCGCCAGTGGTCAGAGCCCGTAAACCACAGCGAGGGCCCTTGGATGGAAGTTGTGGCGAGCCAGAGTGCAAGTGTTACGCCTATGGACCCCGTCACCATAACGCCTGAAGACGTGGCTGAGGCGGTCCGTAGGGCCCCGAACTGGAAAAGTCCGGGGCTCGACGGGCTACATCGTTACTGGCTGAAGGGGTTCATAGTGTGTCACGCTGTGCTCGCCCGACAGTTTCAAGAGGCTCTCGATCAGAAGTCGCTCCCGAGTCTCTTCACTACTGGGATCACTCATTTGGTTCCTAACGATCAGGATACCACAGATCCGAGCAAATACCGCCCCATCACGTGTCTACCCACCATATATAAGACACTGACATCCATTTTGAGCGCGAGAATCACTCGTTACCTGGAGCTAATTCAGGTGATGTCACGCGTTCAAAATGGATGCCGGGGCGGTGGTCGTGGAACCAAGGAACCACTCCTCATTGACGCGGTCATTGGCAAAGTGGTGAAACGCAACCGTCGGAATTTCTCCGCCGCCTGGATAGACTACAGAAAGGCATTCGACTCGGTGCCCCATAGATGGCTAGGAGAGTCCTCCAGCTGTACAAAATTGACTGTACAGTTGGAGACATCCTCGAGCAGTGTATGAGGCAATGGAGTACGATCCTTTGCTATCTGGGCGAGCGGATGATAGCTGCGGAGAACCACATAAGGATCTTCCAGGGCGATTGTCTGAGTCCAATCTGGTTCTGCCTCTCTCTGAACCCTCTCAGTACCTTACTGGAGGGCTCCGGGAGGGGATTTCAGCTACGGAAAGGAGGGACAAAAGTGATCCACCTTTTCTATATGGATGAGCTCAAGTTATTCGCCTCCAGTCAGTCCATGGAATTGCTAAACATCACTTGTGAATTTAGCAATTCCATTGGAATGGAGCTGGGGACGGATAAGTGTGCGGTCCTCCATGTTGAAAGGGGAAGGGTTGCTAACTCTGAGGGCGTAGACTTATCTATGCCCGTCAACTTAAGGACCCTTTCCGAGGCTGAAACATACCGATACCTGGGTATATCACAAAACGTCGGTATCGATGAGACTGGTATGAAACAGTCAGTTTGCGACGTGTTTTATGCACGCTTGACCAAAGTGCTTAACAGCCTTTTGTTCGGTGTGAATAAGGCACGCGCATATAACGGCTGGGTCATGCCTGTCCTCATGTATACCTTTGGCATACTCAGGTGGACTCAGACTGAACTTAACGCCCTGGATAGAAAAGTCCGCACTACCATGACGTCCCATAGGATGCATCATCCGAGATCGTCGGTAATGAGGCTGTACTTGCCGCGGAAGCATGGTGGTCGTGGCTTCTTGAGCGCGCTCACCATGCATAATCGCGAAGTGTGCAGCCTCCGTGATTACTTCCTGGCGAGATCGGATGATCCATTCTATAAGGACGTCATTTCTTGTGATAAAGGACTTACCCCTCTATCCTTAGCCAACGAGCAATGGCAAGACCCGGCAGTGCAGAGCATTTCCGACCGGGAGACCGTATGGAAGGAGAAGGAGCTCCACGGGAGGTTCTACAAGGCTCTACATGAGCCTTTCGTAGACACAGTAGCCTCCCTCCACTGGCTACGCTTTGGTGATCTCTTCGGGGAAACCGAGGGTTTTCTCTGTGCAATACAGGATCAGGTTATTAAGACCAACAACTATCGGAGATACATCCTAAAGGATGGCACCGTCGACATCTGTCGAGCTTGTCCCATCCCGGTGAGCCACTTAGGCATGTTATCTCCGGTTGTTCGGCGCTTTCTAACTCTGAGTACTTGCACAGGCACAACGTAGTAGCCAGAATTCTACACCAGGAGCTCGCTCTGAAATACGGTCTCGTGGATCGGAAGTTGCCGTATTACAAGTACTTGCCGGAAGCCGTACTCGAAAATGATCGCGCCACGCTCTATTGGGACCGGGCCATCATCACAGACAGGACTATTCTTGCGAATAAGCCTGATATTGTGCTGATGGACCGGGCACAGTCAAGGATATTTTTGGTCGACATTACCATTCCGTATGACGAGAACCTCGTGAAAGCCGAAACAGACAAGCAAACAAAATATCTGGACCTGGCTCACGAGGTGACCGACATGTGGGGCGGTCTGCCGACCGAAATTATTCCTGTAGTCGTCTCTGCAAACGGGCTAATCCCAGTCAGCCTTTCGGGTCATCTGAGGTGGCTGGGACTACGTGGCGGACCGCTCCAGGTTCAAATGCAGAAGGCGGTGCTCCTCGATACCGCCCGCATCGTCCGCCGGTTTCTTTCCCTTGCCCCCTAACCCTCGGCCGTTTGGTCTCCCCTGCCGAGGGCCTCCATCTGGTTGGGCTTTTATATATTTATGTACTTTTATATTTATTTTATGTTATTGATATTTATGTATATTTATCTTTTCATTTTCATTTATAATTATATATTTATAGAACCCAACCAGATGAGAAAACTATATAGATACCCCACAATAATAATAAATTCTTGCGAATAACCCTGATATTGTGCTGATGGACCGGGCACAGTCAAGGATATTTTTGGTCGACATTACCATTCCGTATGACGAGAACCTCGTGAAAGCCGAAACAGACAAGCAAACAAAATATCTGGACCTGGCTCACGAGGTGACCGACATGTGGGGCGGTCTGCCGACCGAAATTATTCCTGTAGTCGTCTCTGCAAACGGGCTAATCCCAGTCAGCCTCTCGGGTCATCTGAGGCGGCTGGGACTACGTGGTGGACCGCTCCAGGTTCAAATGCAGAGGGCGGTGTTCCTCGATACCGCCCGCATCGTCCGCCGGTTTCTTTCCCTTTCCCCCTAACCCTTGGCCGTTTGGTCTCTCCTGCCGAGGGCTTCCATCTGGTTGGGCTTTTATTTATTTATGTATTTTTTTTTTTATTTTATTTTATTGATATTTATGTATATTTATCTTTTCATTTTCGTTTATAATTATATATTTATAGATCCCAACCAGATGAGAAAACTATATAGATACCCCAAAATAATAATAATAAGGCGTAGGGAAGTGACGACCCCATCACCCGCTGACGTAACGGTTATGTGACAAAACCGGTACGTCAGTGCAGTCAGTCAGCACCTTGCCGAGAGGTGTTAGTGCCGTGCCTCGGCAAAAATTGAAGGTGCAAAGGCCCGCTTGTGCACATGGCCTCACCATGAAACGGTGCCGGGTCTAGGCGTCTCCCGATAAATGACGCCCACCACTATGGATGATGGAATACGGAAGAACGCGCAAAGGGCCGCTGCCTGGAGGTCGCCAGGGCGCGTCTGGAGCTGGCGCTTGACGCGACAGCATGCGAACCACCAGCCGAGCGCGAGGTGCTGCACGACCACCCAGCAGCCCCTTGCATCCATCATCCTCACCAGCTGGTTTGGTGTCGGCAGGGTCTTCGCGGGCCCAGCAATCGGCACCCGCCACTGGTGGAGTACGCCGCATGCGTTGGACAACCCAGATGAACAGCAACGCATTGCGGGCGTATTTTAGGGCGAAAGGTGGAGAAACTGTAAGTTTTGCGTATCGGGCAAGGATACATCGACTTTTTGCTGAGCTGGAGCCATCTGTAACCCTCACCGAGCAAAATCTGGCAGACCGAGTTCGGTATATCTTGCGCTCAAATACATTTGATGTCACTGAACTTGAACGGCTACGACGCGAGGATGTTCCTTCATCGGGTGAAAATGCTGCGGCTGAGGATGCGGCGCCACAACTCGCTGAGCAAACGGCAAATGTGGATGCCGCCGTGAATACGCCAGTTGTGGTTGATTCAAACGATGACGGAACAGTCGCCCAGGAACTGAAACTAGAGCAAATGAGGAGTAAATTGGAGGAGGCGATTGTGGAAACGCGCAGTACGCCTCTCGAAAATCGACCGCGACTTCCCCGCTTAGCCCTAAGCAAGCGGAATCGGGCTGTCGTGAGGGCTCTGAACCCAATGCTGGTTACCTACTTGGAAGCCAGACGGGACCTTTGCGAGACGGACTCAATTCTTTTTGGCGCCGCACTGGCAGTCTGCCGTATTATAAGCGTCAAACTTTCCACGGCTGGACGCGCTACTGGACAAAGTAGTGCTATCCCAGCCTGGAGAATAAGAATTGAAGAACGTATCGCAAGGGCTAGGGCCCTCATCGGCAGACTGATATGCTTCAGGTCAGGCAATACCAGTCCAAGGATTGTGCGCACCGTCGGGATGGCGTTTGCTGGGACAAATGTTAGTTTGTCCCAGCCAGATATAACGCAAAAACTGACGGAGCGCATAGACGACCTGAAGCAAAGAATCGCTGCTTGGGGAAAGCGGATTCGGCGATATACCGAGAGGTCGACACGGTTCAACCAGAATCGTCTCTTCCAGAGTGATCAGAAGAGGCTCTACAAATCATTGGAGCGACCAATAATAAGTGGAACGGGCCCAGCACCAAATCAGGCCGAACCGGTCGCATTCTGGTGCAGCCTGTGGTCAGAGCCCGTAAACCACAACGAGGGCCCTTGGACGGAAGTTGTGGCGAGTCAGTTTGCGGGTATTACGCCCATGGACCCCATCGTCATAACGCCGGATGACGTAGCTGAGGCGGTCCGTAGGGCTCCCGAACTGGAAAAGTCCGGGGCTTGACGGGCTGCATCACTACTGGCTGAAGGGGTTCATGGTGTGTCACGCTGTGCTCGCCCGACAGTTTCAAGAGGCTCTCAACCAGAAGTCGCTCCCAAGCCTCTTCACTACTGCGATCACTCATTTGGTTCATAAAGATCAGGGTGCCACAGACCCGAGCAAATACCACCCCATCACGTGTCTACTGACTATATACAAGACACTAACATCCATTTTGAGCGCGAGAATCGCTCGTCACCTGGACTCAAATCAGGTGATGTCGCGCGCTCAAAATGGATGTCGGGGCGGCGGTCGTGGAACCAAGGAACCACTCCTCATTGACGCGGTCATTGGCAACGTGGTGAAAAGCAACCGTCGGAACTTGTCCGCCGCTTGGATAGATTACAGAAAGGCATTTGACTCGGTGCCCCATACATGGCTAAAGAGGGTCCTCGAGCTGTACAAGATTGACTGTACAGTTCGAGACTTCCTCGGGCAGTGTATGGGGCAGTGGAGTACGATCCTCTGTCATCTGGGCGAGCGGATGACGGCTGCGGAAAGCCGCATAAGGATAAGAAGGGGTATATTCCAGGGCGACTGTCTGAGTCCAATCTGGTTCTGCCTCTCTTTGAACCCTCTCAGTACTTTACTGGAGGGCTCCGGGAGGGGATTTCAGCTTCGGAAGGGAGGTACAAAAGTGACCCACCTTTTCTGTATGGATGACCTCAAATTATTCGCCTCCAGTCGCTCCCATCTTATGGAATTGCTAAACATCACTTGTGAATTAAGCAATTCTATTGGAATGGAGCTGGGGACGGATAAGTGTGCGGTCCTCCATGTTGAAGGGGGAAGGGTTGCTAACTCTGAGGGCATAAACTTATCTATGCCCTTCAACTTAAGGGCCCTTTTCCGAGGCTGAAACATACCGATACCTGGGTATGTCACAGAACATCGGTATCGATGAGGCTTGTATGAAACAGTCAGTTTGCGACGTGTTTTATGCACGCTTGACCAAAGTGCTTAACAGCCTTTTATCCGGTGTGAATAAGAAACACGCATATAACGGTTGGGTCATGCCTGTCCTCATGTATACCTTTGGCATACTCAGGTGGACTCAGACTGAACTTAACGCCCTGGATAGAAAAGTCCGCACTACCATGACGTCCCATAGGATGCATTATCCGAGATCGTCGGTAATGAGGCTGTACTTGCCGCGAAAGCATGGTGGGCGTGGCTTCCTGAGCGCGCTCACCATGCATAATCGCGAAGTGTGCAGCCTCCGTCATTACTTCCTGGCGAGATCGGATGATCCATTCTATAATGACGTCATTTCTAGTGATAAAGGACTTACCCCTCTATCCTTAGCCAACGAGCAATGGCAAGACCCGGCAGTGCAGAGCATTTCCGACCGGGAGATCGTATGGAAGGAGAAGGAGCTCCATGAGAGGTACTACAGGGCTCTACATGAACCTCACGTAGATACAGCGCCTCCCTCAACTGGCTACGTTTCGGTGACCTCTTTGGGGAAACCGAGGGTTTTGTCTGTGCAATACAGGATCAGGTTATTAAGACCAACAACTATCGGAGATACATTCTAAGGGATGGCACTGTCGACGTCTGTCGAGCTTGTCGCCATCCCGGGGAGTCACTTAGGCATGTCATCTCCGGTTGTTCGGCGCTTTCTAACTCTGAGTACTTGCACAGGCACAACCTAGTAGCCAGAATTCTACACCAGGAGCTCGCTCTGAAATACGGTCTCGTGGACCGAAAATTCCCGTATTACAAGTACTTGCCGGAAGCCGTGCTCGAAAATGACCGCGCCACGCTCTACCGGGACCGGGCCATCATCACAGACAGGACTATTCTTGCGAATAAGCCTGATATTGTGCTGATGGACCGGGCACAGTCAAGGATATTTTTGATCGACATTACCATTCCGTATGACGAGAACCTCGTGAAAGCCGAAACAGAGAAACGAACAAAATATCTGGACCTGGCTCACGAGGTGACCGACATGTGGGGTGGTCTGCCGACCGAAATTATCCCTGTAGTCGTCTCTGCGAATGGGCTAATCCCAGTCAGCCTCTCGGGTCATCTGAGGCGACTGGGACTCCGTGACGGACCGCTCCGGGCTCAAATGCAGAAGGCGGTGCTCCTTGATACCGCCCGCATCGTCCGCCGGTTTCTTTCCCTTTCCCCCTAACCCTCGGCCGTTTGGTCTCCCCTGCCGAGGGCTTCCATCTGGGTTGATCTTATTTATTTATGTAGTTTTTGTTTTTATTTTATTGATATTTATGTATATTTATCTTTTCATTTTAATTTATAATTATATATTTATAGAACCCAACCAGGTGAGAAAATTATATAGATACCCCAATAATAATAATAACATATAAACATCCCAACCAGATGAGAAAACTATATAGATACACATAATAATAATAATATGGCAACTTGATAACCAGTACTCAGTGAAAATTAAGGATATAATTATTAACCTACCAGCTATGAATAAATACAACAAGCTAAAAAGTGAGCTAGTCAAAAGATTTAGTAGCCCAAGGAAAAAATGCTCACCCGGTTTCTGATACATCAGGAAGTGGGGGATAGAAAGCCGTCTCAGTTCTTCAGATACCTCAAAGTCATCGCTGGCACTCAAATCTCCGACGAACTTATGAAAACTATGTGGATTAGCAGTCTACCAGCTAGTATCCAAACATTTCAGGCAGGTATACCATTTACTTCAATTGAAAACCTAGCCAACATCGCTGACACAATCCATGACCTTATACCATCAGCATCCCAGATAGCGTCCACTAACCAAGCTCATTTGTGTGGAATAAATCACATTGATGCCAAAGAAGTCACCGCTCTCAGAAAACAAGTTAAAGCGCTTACATTTACCCAAAGGAACAGCAGATCACGATCACGCTCTAAAGTTATTTACGTGTGCTGATCTCCGTTACTTAATTATCTTGTTTTTAGTTTCTCTCGATTATTGTACTAAACTAAATAAGTTGAGTTTTATGACTGTATGAAATCTGTTTGGCGAGAATGTCTGTTGTTGAAAATTCCTGTTTACAACCATCATATTCAAAAATGTATTTTGTTGATGCCCCTGATGTTTTTTTTCTTAAGTATATTTTCACTCTTTCGTTTTGAAATTTTCTTTTTCATAATACTTGCAGGATGTTTTCCTTTTTTTATTAATTGGTTGATTATCTTTTTTCATTTTAGAGTTTGATTTAATAGTAGGGCTTTAAAAATCAAGGTTTTCTATCAAATTAGAGAAGTAGTAAGTAAACATGTTCTATTATTGATGTACTATGCATTAACTGAGTATTTAATTAACTATAGTCTTCCCGTGTATGGCCGCACATTTAGTACTTATATAAAACATGTGAAGTACTATAATCTACAAATTAGCATTATAAAATTTTAAATAAATTCAAAAAAGTCGTAAAAAAGAATATGAAAAATTATTTTCCATGTGTAAAACACTGCCAGTTAAAACACTATTAAAATATCTAATAGCCATAGAACATTATTACCTATTATTATTAACACTTACAAGACGCTTACTTACTAAGTTAAGGGGGTAAAAACTGGAAGAGCCGACTGCAAATAACTACTACGGACAGCGCTTGAATAAATATATTCTACTTAGAATTCATAACAAATTAAAATGTTTAAGAGAAACGCCTCCAAAAAAATTAAGCTAATAATAATTATTAAAATCCTATCTAAAAAGATTATTAACTGAGCTAAAACTACACAATTACACATTATTGCATAATTTTTTGATTGCTTTTGATTTCATGTTTTACTTTATTTTCGGACAACATAGATCCATAAGGGTTAGTAATAGTATTTGTTTTTTTGTTATTATTATTAATTTCTTTTTATGATTTTTAAATATTTTGTAACTATTGTAATTGGTACCTGTAATTAATTGTATTTCTATTGTTGACGGTGCAATAAAATATAATTTTAAGAGCGCACACTCCCCGACAATCTGATAGCAGTTTGGCAAGAAATGAAAAGAATTGTAATAATAATGCACCTTTCTTCGTGTGAATAAATAAATAAAATAAACCTTTGCTCGGATAAATATTAACTTGCCGCACTCGACGCAGTGCAAAGCTCATACCACCACCTCCATTCACCCATCGTAATACATGACGTATGCAGGTTACCATCCTCGCTTGGTTGATATTCCGAATATCCGCACTAAGCCCTATAAGTCATCATTCATAATGCGCACAGCCAAGGAGTGGAATGCCCTGCCCGCGTCTGTTTTTCGAGTGCATATAACCTTAACCTCTTTAATGTGCATGTTAACGGGCTTCTCCTGGCCAAAAACGCTCCATCGTAGACCTCACCTTTGCCTTCGGGCTAGATGTAGGTCAAGAGTAAGACCATTTTTGATTTAAAAAAAAACGATCCGGCTCGAAATAAGCTAAAAATGATTGCTAACTTCGATCAACAAGGAAGATACTAACTAGATAACGGGTCACGTACAAATTCATAGCTAAATACTGTCCGCGTGAATATATACTTAAACAGCTACATTTGTTTACTAAAGGAATTAAACAAAAAAGTTTAAATAAAACTATTATTTACGGATTTTATCGCGTTTAATTACTTTAATTTATTTTTATTATTATCCCGACGTTTCGGGTGCTTTACAGCACCCATGGTCACGGGGGGGGACTGAGATGTTTGACATCCCAATGTCATAGTTAGTCCGGCTACCTTCAGTTTTTTAATATTAATTTTTGGTCCGATTTACGCAAAACGAGCTTATAGTATCATGAAGTCTTGCAGTGGTATGCTTGGGTTTGGGTTTAATTTTGTTAATTATAGGATCCCAAGCAGATGGTAGCACCCAACCATCTTCTCTATTGAAATTTGGATGTTTTTTAATTTCAATAGCCTCGCGTATCATCCTTGGTAGGAATCGGTGTTCTTTTGCGAGAATTTGTGGTTTATCAAATCTAATGTAATGGTGGGGACGATCTTGAACATGTTTGCAGACTGCAGACTTCCCGGAGCGTCGGTGCTTCACATCAGCTATATGTTCCTTCACGCGGGTTTTTATAGATCTCTTTGTTTGACCTATGTAAGAGAGATCACATTCACAATCTAGCTTGTACACATCTGCATCTTGTAGAGGAATATTACATTTGATGGATGGTAAAAATTGACTAATCTTCTTCAGCGGCTTGTAGTATGTCTTAATGGACGCTCGCTTCAAGATGTAGCCAATCTTGTCCGTGACTCCTCTAACATATGGTAGTAGAGCAGGCGCGCGCTCGACTGTGGCCGGCTTCACTCGTTCACTGTGACGTAGGCGCGGGACCCGAAGCTTGTTGTCTTGCAATACTTGCTTGACGTGCTGAAGCTCCGCGGCCAGATGTTTTCTGTCACAGATCCCTCGTGCTCTCTGAAACAAAGATTTACCCACGGTAGCTAACTGTGAAGGATGATGGTGAGATTCACCATTTAAATATCGGTTGGTATGGGTCTTTTTCCTATACACAGTATGACCAATAGTGTTATCAGGATTTCGGATGACTAAAACATCTAGGAAAGCTAAAGAATTATTTGCCTCTAACTCCATTGTGAATTGTATTTTAGAGTTTATGGAGTTAAGGTGGTCTAAAAATGCAGTTACTTTGTCAGATGGTAAAATTGTGAAAGTGTCGTCTACGTACCGCTTGTAGAACCTTGGATTTACAGGAGCAGTAAGAAGGGCTTTCTCCTCAAAGTCCTCCATGAATATGTCGGCGACTATGGGAGACACAGGTGAGCCCATCGCCACACCATCTACTTGCTTGTAGAACTCCTCCTTCCACAATAGATAGCCAGATGTGAGGCAATGTTCAAGTAGTATTGCATATTCTTGAGGCATGTTATATTCTTCTAGTATCCTAGTTACAATTGAGATGCAGTCCACAATAGGTAGGCATGTGAATAGTGACTGAACATTAAAACTGACCATAGTTTCATTGTTAGCGAGATGTAGGTCTTTTATCTCAATCACAAAATGGTATGAATCCTTTGTGTGTGCTCTGTTATGTCCTCTTAGTGGTGATAGTATTTTTGCTAAGTATTGTGCCAGCTTATAAGTTGGTGAATCGATCTGGTTCACTATGGGACGTAGTGGAGCGTTTAGTTTGTGTATCTTCGGTAACCCATACAACCTCGGTGGTTTGGCACATGATGGTATTAGCGAATTCACGTCGAGATTTAATTTTTCGGAGTATTTCTTTATTAAATCGCTAGTTGTTTTAAGCGTGTTAGACGCGCTTAAAACAACTAGCGATATAGTTTGCTCATCTGGTTGGGTTCCATAAATATATAATTGCGAACGAAAATGATAAATATACATAAATAACAATATAATGAAATAAATAGATAAAAATACATAAATAAATAAAAGCCCTACCAGATGGTAGCCCTCGGCAGGGGAGACCAAACGACCGAGGGTTAGGGGGAAAAGGAAAGAAACCGGCGGACAATGCGGGCAGTATCGAGGAGCACCGCCTTCTGCATTTGAGCCCGGAGCAGTCCGTCACGGAGTCCCAGTCGCCTAAGATGACCCGAGAGGTTGACTGGGATTAACCCGTTTGCAGAAACGACTACAGGTATAATTTTGAATACCTTTCTGTAGTCTATCCAGGCGGCGGAGAAGTTCCGACGGTTGCGTTTCACCACTTTGCCAATGACCGCGTCAATTAGAAGTGGTTCCTTGGTTTCACGACGACATCCATTTTGAGCACGCGACATCACCTGATTTAAGTTCAGGTGACGAGTGATTCTCGCGCTCAAAATGGATGTTAGTGTCTTGTATATGGTCGGTAGACACGTGATGGGGCGGTATTTGCTCGGGTCTGTGGTAACCTGGTCTTTGGGAACTAAATGAGTGATCCCAGTAGAGAAGAAACTAGGGAGCGACTTCTAGTTGAGAGCTTCTTGAAACTGACGGGTGAGCACAGCGTGACATACCATGAACTCCTTCAGCCAGTACTGATGCAGCCTGTCGAGTCCCTGACTTTTCCAGTTCGGGACTCTACGGACCGCCTCAGCTACGTCATTCGGCGTTATGATGACGGGGTCCATGGGCATAATACTCACACACTGACTCGCCACAACTTCCGTCCAAGGGCCCTCGCTGTGGTTTACGGGCTCTGACCACAGGCCGCGCCAGAATGCGACCGTGTCGGCCTGATTCGGTGCTGGGCCCGTTTCACTTACCATTGGTCGCTTCAATGCTTTAATAGAGCCTCTTCTGATCACTCTGGAAGAGACGATTCTGGTTGAACCGTGTCGACCTCTCGGTATATCGCCGAATCCGCTTTGCTCAAGCAGCGATTCTCTGCTTCAGGTCGTCTATGCGCTCCGTCAGTTTTTGCATTATATCCGGCTGGGACAAACTAACATTTGTCCCAGCAAATGCCATCCTGACGGTGCGCACAATCCTTGGCCTGTTATTACCTGACCTAAAGCATATCAGTCTGCCGATGAGGGCCCTAGCCTTTGCAATAAGTTCTTCAATTCTTATTCTCCAGGTTGGGATAGCGCTACTTTGTCCTGTAGCGCGTCCTGCCGTGGAAAGTTTGGCGCCAATAATACGGCATACTGCCAGTGCGGCGCCAAAAAGAGTTGAGTTCGTCTCGCAAAGGTCCCGGCTGGCTTCCAAATAGATCACCAGCATTGAGTTCAGAGCCCTCATGACAGCCCGATTCCGCTTGCTTAGGGCTACGCGGGGAAGTCACGGTTGATTTTCGAGAGGCGTACTGCGCGTTTCCACAATCGCCTCTTCGAATGTACTTCTCATATGCTCTAATTCCAGTTCCTGCGCGACTGTTCCATCATCGTTTGAATCAACCACAACTGGGGTATTCACGTCAGCATCCACGTTTGCGGGTTGCTCTGCAATTTGTGGCGTCGCATCCTCAGCCGTAGCATTTTCATCCGATGAGAGAACAGCCTCACGTCGTAGCCGTTCGAGTTCGGCGACATCAAATATATTTGAGCGCAAGATATACCAAACTCGGTCTGCCAAATTTTGCTCTGTTGCATTTATGATTGTTGGTATACATACTTTTCACACTAGCCATTAAATATAATATAGTATGTAGTATATTGATTGCATTTAATTAACTAATTCAATATATATCTATTTTAGTTTTTGTATGTATATATGTTTGTAGTATGTTTGTATCTATGTATAATATATATGTAGTCTATTCATTGGTTGTTTGGAAGAAATTGCTGTCAGCAATAAGACCGCCCATTGGATACTTTTTAAACGTGATAGAGCGATGCTTCAATTATATTAGTAGTATAGTTGTAGCATGTATGGGTCAGCTCGATCGAGGAAGAAAACTAGGAAAGCTAAAATAAAACAGCTAAGTATCTATTGAAATAACACAAACAAAGACAAAAATTGCAATTACCATTATTTAAAGTTTTGGTAACGAATTTTTAAAAATGATTACAATACAAATCTACTATGTTCTGTTTCACAAATGTTTGCGCATGTATTTGTCATTGGCAAAACATTTGTAGGGGTGGTTTTGATCGGTAATTTCGTTTCAAATATAATATTATTGGTTAGTTTAGAGCTTAAAATATAACATATTATACATGTAATTACCGAAAGTAAGACACTCCGGCCGTTAAATTACTTTTCGGGCATTATTCTTGCAACTTTTAAATACACATTGCGGCATTGTGAAACATGTTACATTGGCTGTGTTTCAAGTGAACCAAATGAAATAAGAGCTCACGTCTCATGTGCGTTCTTATTTTTGGAGACGGATTTTTTGCACCGACACGACATTTAGTTGGTATTGTTGATTGAAGATTGCTAATCAAGACCGATTCAGCTAAAAGGTCCATAAAAACGCTATTGCGAGCATTCGACCGCTAATTCAGCAGTGAGCAAGGTTGGCCCTCGGTTTGCTCGCGTGGCTGTTCACAGCATCATAATCACTCCGAAAAGTCAAATGGATTAACCTTCTTTCTATGGCGAAGCGGCGTGATCCTGAAGTCGCCACCGGAGGTTATCTAATGCTATTTTCTTGCAATTTTTTTCACGATGGTGGTCATAAACCGCAAACATGGTCGAATGTACAAAATACAACCACAATATTTAAGAGTATATACTTTAATTACGCCGTACTTTTTGGACACACCGTCTGAGCGCGTCGCCTAGCCAACTATATTCTTGTGCTCCGGGCGCGATATGTCGCTTGTGCAGTGCCTACAGACAATCCGTAGTAAATTATAATGCCAGAACAATCAATTTTACAAATATAAATAGATAATGTATTACTACTTAAACTAAAACAATACAAAAATAAAAAAATAATATATTATTTCAAAATTTCTACAGTAACAAGATCAGGCTCGCCTTCTAGCTGTTTCGACTAAGGAATCTAGCCACTGGTTACATGCTCTACCATCACGTAATCTTGGCACATTGCTTGATGGGGAAAGCTTGCGCATCGCCGTAGAAATCCGGCTAGAGGTGGCAATTTGTTAACCTCACCAGCGCCCCTGTGGTAGCAGCGTCGTTGAGTTTGGGCTCCACGGACTTTCATGCAAGAAAAGTGCAGGTAGGTTTTCCCGTCACGGTTCTTTGAACAAAATCATCCGAAGGGCTCTTGTCTACATAAATGTCCCCATCGGTTTTAGAGCCTTGCGGAATATTTAGAGACGATGGCAGGAGACCCGACGGTATGACTTTGGTCCCTTGGGAGAGAGGTAAACCCCTAGTGTGGGATGCTACTTGCGTTGACACTTTGGCGGCCTCTCATATCAAGGGTACCTTTTTAGAGCCGGGGCGGCATCAGAGGCAGTCGACTTTAGTAAATGGCTCAAATATGAGTCTTTGAGAAATTACTACATATTTGTGCCATTTGCTGTAGAGACTATCGGTCCGTGGGGTACGCGTGCAGTGAAATTTCTAAAGGAACTGTATCCACGACTGGTCGTCGCTGCTGGTGATAAGAGGGCTGGTTCTTTCCTCGCTCAAAGGCTAAGTATAGCTATTCAGCGAGGAAACGCAGCCAGCGTTCTTGGCACTATACCACGGGGAGCAGGTCTTTTTGACTATTAAAATTTTTAGTTTCAGATTTTCTATATTATAGTTTCTTCTTTTATATTGTATATAATTAGTTTTAATCGTAAATATTATAATTTTGATTATTATTTTAGTTAAGTTCATTATTATAAACACTATCTGCATCTAATCAAAGAAAAGTAATTGAGGGCTTTGTTATTTTCTTTGTCTTTGTAATTTCTTTTTTTTTTTGAGGAATGCATGAACATGCCTAACGGCCACACTATTTTGGATTGGTGAGTTCTCAGTTAGAGTTCTCTTATTATTAATTTATCATGGGGCCGTATTACTCAATATTTTCAGTCATCACCGTAAATCACCATGGGTTTTACCTCAATATATCATACTAGCTAGTAGTCTTTTTTGACACGCTTTTAACGCACAAAGTCATATATTTCTAAGAGTGAAATAAGAAAAAAGCAAGTTTACGAACAGGCAGAGAGCCATGCCAGAAAGGATCTAGGTTATATTTTATCTAAAAACATGAACGCACGCACATGCACGCCTCAAATGCTGAATCAGGGCGCTGAACCAGGCAAACGAACGTGCATCATTGCGTCATGTGCGCATCGGATACGAAATTTTATGTAGAACTCGATGTATCACATACGGTCTCATATCGCGTATCGTTGTGGGTTGTAACTAGGGATTATGATACACGACCGCGCTGCGCGCCTGAGAACATTAGGACTAACAAGCTTCCCTTTAGATTGTGGTTGTAGCAAACAAGTTAATTTAATTCTGTGTAGTTAAGCAAATATCCTGTTTATTTCCTTCTATCGCCTTATATGACACTCATGTTATTTTTTATTTCCTTATTATTGAGCTTAATCAAAATCTGAATATGTCGCTCTGTTAGTTCATCATCAAAACAATTACCTACATTAGGTATACTTAAACTTATTAAATTATAAAACTGAATACATAATTTCTTCTACTTCTTGTAAATAATTACAAAAAGTAGAAGAAATTATGTATTCAGTTATAAAAGAAGTTCCCAGATTAATCACATTGAAAAGAGAGTGATCGACCCGAGAACTTAACCTCATAAAGTTTGTTTAATAATTTTATATCATCAGAATGTTGCTTATCGAAAATTATATTACAATAAGCGAATTCTTTTAAAATGTGATGGCACTTATCAATAAGAAAGGCAGCATTGTGGGCACAATCCATCAAGACATGCGTTAGGTCCTAGGGAATACCGCATTGATCACTGTTCGGTGACTTGACCTTTTTCATAAGGAATACAAATTTCCTAGATGGAATGTGTCCAGTACGAAGCCTTATTATCACCACTACATCTTGTCGCGCCAGCTTATGGTTATTAATCAATGGTATTTTAAACTTGAGTAACTTAAAACTTGAATAGGTTGTTGCCAGTAATAAAATATGGTGATATTAGAACCAGAGTTCAGAGTTCCATCGGATCAATAAGTTGAAATGCAATGGGCCGACCATATAGCTCAAAGTACCGTCAACCAATGGGGCAGAAAGGTTCTCGAGTGGCAACCTCGTACTAGTAAACGAAGTGTAGGGCGACCCCCTACTAGACGGAGTGATGACCTGGTAATATATGTGTAGTGTTGACCGGAGATCCGACCACCACCATATATATATATATATATATATATATATATATATATATATATATATATATATATATATATATATCAGTGTGTAAGTGTAAACACCGTAGTCACGGAAACCATAGGTGGTTGGCTTTAATATAAAAATATTTATCCGATTTTTAAAAAAAAAAAACGCTATTTTCTTTTATAAAATTAAAAAAGTTTCTGTCCGACACCGTCCGTAAATTCATGGATACCCTATGCGCTCGAGTGACTTAATCACTGTAAAGATCACCGCCCGCCCTTGCTACCTACACAACATTTCAATATAAACACAATGGTACACATAACCTATCATGAAACTTTTCCTTCATACTTTCACACTTGCTTAGGACAGATAAAAATTCCTACCCTTTGTGTTGCGTGACGAGTCCAAATTAATGTAAGTTAGATTTAGCAACAAAGAAAATTAAACATTAATAATAGTAAATAGTAAATCATTAGGTAGGATTTTTGGCGTATTTACCGTATACCGTACCGCGGTCGAACGCAAAAGG